ACTTGCATTCAAATAACTGGATCACGAGGCAAACGCGAGCCGTTTTCGTGGAATTCACGGTTTACAACGCAAATACAAATTGTTTAGCGTGATATCGCTTTTTATCGAATTCCCGTCCTCCTCAGGCGTTGTAACCAAGGTTCAGATTCAGAGTGCGCGATTTTACCTTCATCTTAATGTAGGTCAAATCTTTGCTCACATATTGGTCATATTCTTTATGCTGTACTTTCTATACAGAGAAGGAAAGCTCTTCTATAAGCAAAGATGGGCCTATTTCAAGGGTTTTTGGAACTGGGTCGAAACGATTCTTATAATCTCGGAATTTGCTTTGGTACTTATATTCCTGGCACGTTTGTACGAGGTGGATCGAAATTTACTACAACTCCGCGAAAATCCTAACGATTACGTCGGTTTTCAGTTCGCAAGCCAGGCAGATGCAGCCATGTCGTCCATCTTTGGTATCCTGGTGTTTCTCTATATTCTACGATTCCTGCGCCTTCTGAGGTTTAATAGGAACTTCCTTTCCCTCGGCGCAACGTTTTCCCGCATCACTAAGCCAATATTAAATTACCTCATCCCTTTTACATTCGGTTTCACAGCGTTTGGTATGCTTGCGTTCAGCGTATTCGGTGCGGAGCTTGAAGATTACAGCACATTCGTACGAACAATGGTTACTCAATTTAGCATGTCGTTGGGCGACTTTGATTTCGAAGCGCTAACATCCGTTAGCCCCGTCCTTGGAGCGTTCTATTTCTTCGCTTTCGTTGCTTTTTTTGTGGTCGTGTTAATGAACATTTTTATCGCAATTATCAATGATTCCCTCGCCGAAGTAAAAATTGAAACCTGTGAGCGGGAAAATGAGTATGACCTAGTTAATTACGTGGTGGCTAAAGTCGTTGAAATAATGAAAAGGTAAACTCAACTTTGGAGCTAGGCGACATGTAAACAATTTTATTTCAGTAAGGGAAGCTTGAGGTCAGTGAAATCTGCATGTATATATTCTGAAGAGAGAACTTATGCAGAGTAACAATTCTGCAAGTAGGACAACAAAGGTTATATCTGCATATCGACAATGGGTATTAAAAAGACATCTCACGCAATCGTATATCACAAAATATATTTTGCATTACACCATACTGCAAATGTATATAGGGCAAAATTAGGCATTTCTTTCACAGTCTGCTAAACTGTTTGTGCAGAATTTTTTCAATGGTCAATTAAAAACTGCTTGTGATTATATATATTATCCATCTCTGTACGAGAAAGGCTTTTTATAAAGTTTTTACTGGGCTTAATATAATTAGTGCTAATTTACCTCAGTTCCTGCCCATTCGGCAACTGCAGTATCTGAACATTTTAATTCTACTGCAGCACGAAACAAGCTGGAATGTTTTTGCTGTCTTCTTTTGGATGGACAAACTGAAAATCTTTTAAAGTTGCTTATAAATTTAGCAATCAAAATGAATAAATTTTTAAGTTGCATTTGTTAAGCAATGGAAACAAATATTTGTTTATAGTTAAATCTTGAAGCTATCAACAGATTATTATTGCTGATGTTTAAATACATACAGTACAATTTGTTCACTGTTCTTATCTAGAAAAAATCCCAACGATCGACAAAGGAAGGACGTAGAGGAAAGTGCCCCTAGACAACCGGAGGAAGTAAAGTTGATTGGTACCAACACAATAACTGACGAAATAGATTTGAAATGTGAGAAGTTTGATAAATTGTTAGACGATATTGAACAAGGTTTCAAAGAAGATATCCGGATTGAGGTGCAGATTTGTTCAGTTTGTGGATAAGATTTATTTTTGACCAAAAACTGATATTAATGTCGTATATCTAGTTTTTTTGTGTTTTGAGAAGGGCCTTAAGGATTTGTTTGAAAGGGCAGATATCGGGTGGCGTGGTAGCACAGTAAAGTACTTTTATGGTAACTATTTATAAATAATAATTATATATTATTAAATACTGTATTTCTTAAATAATTTAAAATGATTATCATTGTGTCAAACTTGTGCGCGCCATAATCGAGGTAAGCTACTCCGACAAAAGGCTATATCAGTGCATGGATGGATAACAATGTTTTCGTACCTCAACAATGGCCGTGCGAGATTAAATTTAGAAATGAATTTAGATACACTAAAGTTGCTATAGCTTAATTCTTCGTGTGCCATATATACTGTATGTATGCTTTTGCTTTTATTTGCTTTAAATACTATTCGTGTGATGAAAGAACATTAATAATTATTTATTTTGTAGTGCTTATTGATAATATAAATTTTAATGCTGCACGGTGCTTTCCAATATTGAATTACAGCAATATTCAAATGTATAGTGTTTTCAAAATAAAAGGTAATTCACTTTATCCCTAATGGAGCTCCCTTAAATAACATTTAAATACCGTATTAGGCATGGGCGTCTTTTGGGCGACCATTGCCATGGATGGTTTAGATCGTTTTAAATTTAAGCACTGGTGAATCCATCATGAAAGAAGCTACGACATTCCAACGCCAACAGTGAAATAGGAGAAATATTTTATAGGAGTGCTGATAGTGTGTGTAAAATCAAAAAGCATTCTTGAGGTTTTCGTCGAAGCGATATGCTCTTATCATATTGCATTGCGTTGGAGAGATTGTGATTTTGGCACAACCGATAGGATAACCCGCAAGGTAATCAATTCAAGTAAGGTAATCAGCCTTTTTTTAGACCCGGGGATGAATATATCTAATATTTCTAGCTTTTAAAAATCAAAACGTGTTTACTTTGCGATAACATGCATGCAAGGTCACGAAAGTTGTGTGGTTCTTATAATTATACTTTAGGAAGTTGTTATACCATGCACATTTGATGCTAAGTTTTTTGAAGACCGCACGCTGCTCCCTGGTCATATTAGAAACTGCATCGTCCGTTAGCGTAAGCACACTGATTGACAGAAGACTGAAAGAAGTGATATTACTAATATACATTAAACTTACCTTTATATTCCTATAATTCCCCGACATATTATTATAAACGAATACAGAGACACGATGCCGACTGAACGAGATGTAAATGTGATTTTACATGCAGTCAAGCCTGCAAACAGATCTGGTCTGGCTAGTTCGTGTCAAATCGTATAGAGATCGTTAGATCGACCAATCACGTACATTTTAACTGTCATCATTATACCGGCATGCATAAAATAGACAACGTCGGGTACGCAAACAAAGGAGACTTATTGCGCGCTTCCATGGATACCTTTAGGGATTTGTGTCTACAGGGTGTATCAAAAAAGCACTCCCTATTTGAAATCAAGCTTTTGTCAGAATTTAAATGACTTACTATTATGCTAAACCCACATAATTTATGTGTAAAATTGAAAGCGAGACGCTTAATTTGAATACCCAAACCTCAATTATTATCATTCTATTTACAGGAGGCGAATCAACAACAAAAGAGCGACTTCTTTTGAGGGGACGTTTTTTTCGAAACCCTGTACAGAGTGTCTCAAGAATATATGCAAGAATATTGATATTGTTCGGGTTTGCACCATAGTTCAGCTAAAATGACTTTTAGCATTTTAAATGAAGGACTAAGAGCCATTTTCAATTCCCAGAGGTGCTTATCCATTGCGCTTTAGAGCTGTATTAATGTTCTGCATATTTAAGTGGTTGGGTTTTTTTTTGAGACACCCTGTATAATTAAAATTATTGAATTATATTTGGGTGATCTAAGGGATTTAATTGAATTTTTCGTAAACAAGATTTTAGGTAATCGTGACTTTTGTTATTAAAAATCTGCTCTTAAAATTGGGATAAAACCCGTTTGCAATTGTTACACGACCCCTATTCTTTGTATCTTTCAGCGGAATCGTCGGGGCCGTAAGGGGGAATAACCCAATAACGTATACTAGATTAGAACCACAACAACAACTTCTTCGTTTTATAGAAATGTATTAAAAGCTGTGCCTCCGGCTCGTGCTGTTGCCTCTCACACTAACTGCAACTAATATGACTAATCACTATTCACCGCTTCCTAGTGTCAAGTGTCTAACAATTAAGCATTGTTCATTGTTCCACAATGTTTCAGTGTTCCACAATGTTTCATTGTTTAGTTGTGCAACGCCCGTGCATATACAATATATCTCAGTCATATTGCTTATATAACACAATCCTTCTCATTGTGGGCATAACGGCCTTAAGTTTGACTTATCTCAACCAACAGATGAATGCTAAGTGACTAGTTGTCAGCCCCTATAAATCTCGGTAACTTCCGCAACTGCCACGTCTATGTCTTCAACAAAATTTCGGAAGTAGAAATATGGGACTGGTTTTACGAAGGCCGGATATAGAGCGCTATCCAGGCGAGTAAAGCTCTCACTGTCTTAAAATTGTCCGTGTTTTGGTACGTGGATCCTTCCTATAGGTGGTGTGTTCTAGGCCACAAAATCCAGACCAACGTATACAGCAGAAGGTGGCCTGGACCTGTCCTGGGGCAAGATTTTGGTAATGTGAACAGGCTTTACTTAGTCCTGACAAGTATTGAACTTAATAATATGATCTGTATTATAGGATTCATATAGCATTACCACTTTTTGGCGTGTTTTGGGTCCTTTTCTTCTAAGTATTTTATCAATTACTTTGGCTATGCTATATCATCAACAAGGAAGGCAGTGTAAACGTGGCACATATTACCTAGACTTGTCCTAGACTTGGTCCAGTCCAGACCAGGTCTAGGCCTGAAGTGTAAACACGGCTTTAGAAGTCCCACGAAAATAGTTGCACACCATCTACTCTTGAAGTAGCTTATGTTTCTCTTAATGCGTAATAAATCTTCAATTAAATATCTACAATTTTCATTATTTTCAAGCGCTTTGTCTCTGGTTAAAAAGTCATCATCCGGTGGTAGCGCTATTCATGCAGCCTTAGTACAACCGGTCCCTACAGTTGTCAGGTTTACAGACTTTAACTGAATAAAGTCGATTAAAAGATCCGGTCCTATTTGCGCAGTCATTTCCTCTTGCATGGGTAACGCTTCAGCCATTCGCCGTGTTCATATATAAAATAATTTGGCGCTATAAAGCTGGTGCGATGTTTGACTGTAACTTAATATTAATCAAATGATAATAAAGTCCTTTTCTTCTCAGTAATTCCTCTCGTGTACCCTGTTCAAGAACTCTTCCATGACATACGATCGCGACCTTGTCGGCTTCTTCGACTGTCGACAAATGCCGAGCAAAAATTATGCACGTCTTTCCTGATTTAAGATTTTTCAAGCTTTCTTTTACCTCCTAATCGTAAAAATAAAATCAGTTGATGATGTAGTATCGTAATTAACATTCAATTTAGGTTTAAATAGATGTTTTCTCCGATATACAAGTAGGTAAATCATAATTTTGGGGAGTGGCATTTTGCTTGATGAAGGTAAATGTTGATAATTGTATGCTAACACTATCCTTTGCAGCTAAACTTTAAATGGCAGTCATTTTTAGTCATTTAACTGAAATGAAAGACCGCGACAATAGCCTATTTTTCTTTACAGTTCCTCCGCATTGGCATGTCTTAAGATTTTTGCAAATATTTCACTTTCTATCTAGGCAAATATTGTTCCAACCTCGTACCTCGGGTTCCCGGACACAACAAGTCAACTACGTCAGGTCACAAGATAATTGCATCATACAGCCTATTACGGTTTCATATACAAGTAACTGGAGGCAATTCATGCATGGCTAATACGTCATTTGGTTATTGTGTGGCATTTGAGAACCTTTACGCAATATTTTCCTTTTCACTAATAATATCACTAATTTATTCTTTTAACATCTTAATTTTGAAACAACTTTTTTCACTTACTTCGTCGAGTTGTGAGAACTCGTCAATCACCAGAATCAGAGGGTTTCTAATAACCGCCCTCGTTATAGCAATCTTTTGTTTTGTTTTCTCGTCTAAAAGGATGTCGTCATCAACCAGTGAATTGTACGACTAAATTGATTAATTGTGTGTTAGTTTAGGAAACGGAGCAGAGTAAGCACCAGGCAAGAATCTGCAACGACCGACTTGCGGTGTGGAATTGTCATCTAAGTTCGAAACGAATTTCAAGGGCATGCAGTATAATAAATAAACATAAATAAATAATTGAAAATCTGTTGCCCGCTTGGAAAAACAAAATGGCGATCCGTTCTTTTACTCATCATTATAGATCAGTGATATTTTTCACTGGTAACAAAATGTCGAGGTTCATGTACACTGGCGGTCAAAAAGAACTGCTCAAAACAAGTTAAAATGCTCTCAAATGAATGTAACTGTCCCTCTAACAATACATACGAGTAAATATAAACTAGAGAATCACGATTCCTGTTACATACGATAACAGCAACATTTAAATAGTTCTTTTTGACTGCCAGTGTATTTTGATCTGGTTTGACACATGGTAAATGGTTTAGAAGATTTTTCAATACGGACAAGGAAACTGTGTTTTAGAGGCCAATAAGTGTAGGAAATTATTTTGTTCGAGATCGTTTAGTTTTATTTTTTCATAATTTTCCGAATGATTAATAATGGTAATCCCACTGAGTGGAGTGCAATTTGGTGTGAAATCAAACACGTGATTACAAAATCGATTTGCATGTAATCGATTACAAGTTTGATTTCACACTACAATTGCACGACACGAAGTGCAATTTCCATTATATTCATTTTGAAATCATACAAAAAAGTAAACAAATTTTGAACGATTTATTGGCTGAAAGAACCGTAAACGGTGTTGTTACCGTAAAAATGTTAGTAATTTTCATCTATTTTTGTCAAAAAATTTTGCAGGGCATTTAAAAATTCAAAATAATAAAATTTTGTGCTATTTTCCTCTGTAATTTGATTGAATAGTTACACTAAAATACTAAATCTGATTGGTTATTGTGCTGCAGAGCTTCAATCTTATTGGCTTATAAATGATGTGATTGATGCTCAAAAATGTGCAATTTGGGAATTAGTCACACTATTTTTAACCAATCAGATTGCAAGGAACACCAATGAGTTGAAATATACTAACGTTGGGAAAATTCTCAACGTCTTCATGAAGACGAGTTTTTCTAGCAACATCTTCCAAGTAATCGTACGATAAGCATCCTGCAGTGTCAGCGATCATTAGATTATCGGCGATACTATGATGACTGAGCACGCTGGTTTCTGATACTAATGCTATTTGAGACCGTAACCATCTCGGGTCCATATCACGTATGTCTAAGCCATCTAAGGTCTAAAGCAAAAATATGGGTTGGTAAAAATACGAGACACAGAACCAAGAAAATTTTACCTTACGCGTCGATATTACCGCACGGCATTGAGATTGATTTAGAACCTAGTTTCTCAGAAAGACTCTTCCTTGGGTTCGCGTGGTTTTTTGAAGTAAATATTTTGAGTTAGGACTCTGTAAATTTATGAACTCTGTCATTGTTCCCGATAGATATAGCTAGTTTGCTTTTCCTGGTGCATTACCAGATCATTGTCGAAAGACGATTGCTTTTACACTGAGTGAACATGAATGCATGCGCACGAACACTCAACTTTGCAGTAATATACCTGTCCATTGAACTCGACTTGAATTAATTTACTTACGACACAGCCTGAACTGGGATCATAAAATCTCTCAACCAGTGCAAGGACGGCGTTACTATTAAAATCTGTCGTGCCCACAATAGCCAATGTCTCAGATGGCTTGACCGAAATATTTAATCCACTTAGAATAACATTTTTCTTTTCAGGATGATGAATTTCCACCTCGTGAAATTCCATTTCACCGTTTACGTCATTCTAAAACACAGATATTTTTAGAAATGCTTAGAGTCCACATCATCCTACTCTCGATCGATTTTTTAAATGAATTCGTTTTATGAGTAAAAAGTGAGAAAGTCTCACAGCAAATCATGCATTTATTACATGTTACCTATACGTAGGGCATTTATTACAGTCACCTTAAACGTGCAATAAAGATGATAGGTTTATGTCATATGGCCAGTATAAGCAGTACAAGCAAATTAAAAAAGTATCCAAAACATGGAAGAAATTTTTCAACGTACAGGTTTACTTTTTCTTTAGGCAAATTGTCATTTCCGTCAGCCTTGACATCTCCTGATTCTTCAGTTTCAGGGGACTCTTTCTTGGTTTTAGACTTTTCTTCTGGTGCGTTTGATGACCCCGCTCCTCCAAACAACACGGTCATGAGCACCCTAAAAAACGTCGTTATGGACAATAATTTCTATAAAACATACATGACACTTGCAAGTTGCAACTCAGAATTTACTTAGATTAGTCATCTCCACTTTACCTATAACCTGATTCGTTTGAACGAGACTTTCGCCAAACAAACGCTTGCGAAAAAACATATTCAAATTGGTTCAAATTCAATTTCGAGCTCGCATAATAAGAATAATTATTCAGGTTAAAGGCAAAAAATCGCTGCCTATCGAAATGGAAGGAAAGACAAAACAATTATGTAAAATAAAAATTGTTTCCGCTAGGTAATTTATATAAATATTACATTACTACATGTCAAAGCTAATATTAGAATAGCCAGCCCAATTTTTAACGCACTGAAATGAAAAAAAAATCGGTTTTACGTCATAACACTTTCCACCGTCATTTCGCCAACACGGACCAGATATCCCCCGTATCTTAGAGCTCCTGCATATACAAGAAAGGTCACACATTCCGCAATTGCAAAGGCAAGGCCCGTTGCAATCAGCATCTTTACCGCGTATCTAAGGAAAGCATTGAAATTATTGTCACGTGTGAACACTAAGGAATGGGCAGTAAGCGAGGAGGAATAAGGTGACTGGTATGCATATAAAGTGTTTAGGAAAGGAAATCGGATCTCAGGCAGTAGCGTAGCCAGCCATTTCTAAAGAAATGAATTATTACAATAACTCGAAATTTACATAGCGGTTAGTCATTTGCAAATTGTGGAAAGTTAGAAAGAGTTTCGTGAAATACTCGACAGCGATTAACACAAGGTTTTCTCTTTAAAAATTTGGAAAACTTCGAATTGCCAATGCCAATTTCCGAATGCACGTGATTAATCTTGAAAAGAAATACCTATGGTCAAACTGTTATAACAGTTTGCTATAGCAAGCTTTACTTGACGTACTTGTAAGGTTTTAGACATTCATCTTTGAACTTTGACGCATTATTATTTGCAGGAATCTTTCCAGCAGCTGATGTCGTTACACCACGAACTTTTTTCCAAACCTTTGAAATAATCTGCCAAAGAAACACGTAGTTTTTTTAACAGTCCGTCGTGTACGTTAAAAAAACACTTGGGATATTTCCTAAAGTATGATGCGCTATCGGCATAGTGTTGAAATAAAAATCAAAACATTTGGATTATTTTGTCAAATTTAACGGTCATTAAATTATGTTGTTACATAGGTTCTGTATATTTTAAATGTGATTGGTTCATTCGTAGTCACATGACTTTAAATAAATGCAATGTTTCCCGCCAGGGAAACAAGTAAAAAATTGTTGCCCGCTTCTTGTCATAACAAAGTGAAGTGGGTTTCTTTTTTAAATGTTTTTGTTCCTATATAACAAAACACTCGACCTCGTCTCGGGAAACATTCAGACTCTTGGGAAAACAAAACTCACTATTTCCCTCGGGAGCATACATTAAGTGTATATTGTCATAAGCAGCAGAACCGATGGGCAGAAAAGATACGGCGGCATTAAAATAAATATCATGGAATTTCGTAGGTCGGCAATACAGAATTAATGTTTGTTGCAAGGAACTACAATAATCGCAATTGACCCTTTGCATAACAGACCAACTTTTGATTTAGGCGACAAAAAAGGAATTTAATTTCGGCCGAAAACGGCATACTAAATTTGGTAAAATTGCAGTTTGGCTGCGAAATATAATTTTAAAGTACGGAAAATATAGGCGATTACACTAATTTCAGTATGCTCTTTTTAGCTGTGATGATTTATTTCCTTTTTGTTACCTATAGATCATCAGTATGGTCGCCTCAGTATGCAAGTGGTCCATTCAACACGTAGAGACCGGTAGATGTTGCGATCTCGCGCAACAAGCTGGGTCATACTTTCGGGTGTGATAAAACGTGTATGTAGCCTACCCCGTCACTTTCCTCATCCTTGGTCTCGTCCGTCGTGTCGTCGTCATTCTGCACGGACTTCGCATATGATATGATTGGCTGACCGGCAAGAACGACCAACGTCATCTTCCAACCATTTGTAAACGCTATGAACATCGTCATGAAGGTCGATATATTACTACTCACGTTTGCTGTAAGACTAGATAGGGAAAACTGAAAAAAATAAAATGGGATTTTGAAAAAAAGCTGGCCGTGCTTAATCAATCAAGTGGGTGGAGAGGCATAGGTGTCCCAAGACAATATTTCGGTTCGTTTATGTAAGGCTCTACATTGTCATGCGCAGGGCCTTTTTTAGAAAATTGTTAGAGGGGAGCACGAACAAAATTATCCTAACAGAGAAATTGGTAATTAAAAGTCTCGGAGTTTTAAGAGGTCTGGAACCCCGCCAGGAATAATCTATTCCGGCGAAGCGAGGTCTGTTGAAAGAATATCATTACATTCTTCTGAACATGCATGGTTATTTTGCTAACATCTATACTTAGACATACTATACGTGACAACCGAAAAGCTGTAACTGTGGGAATAAGGACAGGCGTTAAAACACGTAAATTGCCCTACGTAGCATTTCCCAATTTTTTTTAAACGAAAGGGTTTCGAGAGGGTTCAATTTCGTCGGCGGAATCAGCACACTTTACCGCCTTACCACGATAATAAGTTTTATAAAGAATGAAAATGAAAGTTATCTAAAAAGGAGTTACCGAGTTTTTCATTGAACTTTTATCCATCTTTGTTGTCATGCTTTCAGCTTTTGCACTGCTCGGCTCGTCGATAAGGTTTAAGTCCTAAATATGAAATAAGATTTAAGTCCTGAAGGTAAAACATACATAGGGATACCGCAAGGGGGTGTCCAAATTAATCTCCTCACTCCACCACCCTCCAATCTAGGCTCGGGATTATAAACATGGGTTGATTTTTGAATTGAAGTACAGAATTAAACAAACGGGCAAAAACAGTATACTGGCCAGGGACCGGTTGTATCAAGCCCGTTTAGCTTAAACGGTGATAAATCAAAATTAAATAATAGTCTTACATCTCTCTTGAATGAGTCAACTTGAATATTATGCACTGAATTTGTAGTTGTAAACAATAACTTTGTATTAAGGTAAAAACATTTTGTTTGCTTCTTGAATAAAACGATAGACTTGCTTTCTATTTTGAACTTATCCACCGTTTAAGCTAAACGGGCTTGATACAACCGGCCCCAGGTGATTGCTTTAGCGCATGGTAATAGCTAACTTTAAATGAGATTTGTTAAACTTGCAATACCTGGCTATCTTCGGATATCGGATTCGGAGATGTTCGCTTGAGATTTGTTTTCATGTCAGGCTCTTTCGATAGTTTTTGCGGCTGACTAAGTTCCTGAAAAAGACATTATGTTTCTGCATGTGGTTTCAGAGTTCAAAGGAGTAAAACTAACCGCAGTGAATGATTTTCGATATGAACATTCTGGTGAGTGAATTTCTGCTGCCGAAAAGGAAGGATAATTACTCCAGATAATTAGGTCACTTTCGTTTTCGTTAAAATTGTCGTTTTTAAAGTGTACGGACAATGAAAATTTAGTTTCTATATTTTGATTATTAAAACTACAGTTTTGATTACGTTACATGCGGGGTTAACTTTTAGAATTGCTTCTAGCGATTAAAACAAGAATGCGAACTTGGTCCATGAATGGGATCTATTTCAAGTTTCAATTCAAGCGTATAAGTATCTTGGAGTGAGTTTTGTGGCATAATCATCATGGGCAGTCAAGATAAAAATATTGCATGACCCCACTTGTGCTCCAAGATGGCGGAACCTGAATAATCCAAGATGGCGGTCAGTTATTTTTAGTCAAAATATTTCGTGCTTATTTAAGGTGGCTCTAAGTTGAACGCGATAATGGTATGACGTAATTATCGAAATGGTCTATTTATTTGACACAATTAATTACTTCAGACTTACTGACTTAAGGCTGTTTTCCACTTCAACCGTATCGTAGCGAAACGTAGCGTATCTCATTGTTTCAAAGTCATTAATTCTGGTCGAATACAACGGTAACGAAGAAATACGGCTACGCCAAGTCACGTTACGTTATGATACGGTTGAAGTCGAAAACAGGCCTTAGCGACAAAAACGTGGCTTCCGGCGAATAATTCTTAAAATAACTGCATCTCAATGATAAAAAGTGAATAGATAAGAACATTACCTTGACATTTATTTCCAGATTTTCTTTCTCTTTGGGTGCCAAAACTTGCTCGGTGGATGTCTTGGACACCTCGCTCCTCGATTTCAGTTTTTCTTCATCAGCGGATATTTCCAAATCCTCACTTGACGTCTTCGGCGCTTCACTCTGGTATTTCAAGGAAAATTCTTGTTAGTTAGTAAATTAACCTGTTTTTCCTCTGATTATATATCAGTGCAATCCAAAAGATAGGAGAACAAAGGACATCGAAATTCTCATGAAAGTTGACAACTAGCTCGACAAAATATTATAACGCAATTGCACCAGCCGAATTTCGGACAGGAGAATCTTTCTTTATCGCATCGTGTGTTTTTTTAATTCTAGAATACGCAAGGCACGTGCCATCTGTTAAAAAAAAGCTATCTAGAAATGATAAGTGTTTAGTTCTATAACCTATACCTTATCCATCGTAGAATTAAAAGCGTTCCCTTTCAGGCCCATCTCCACTCGACTTTCGCTTAAGGATGTAGAGAATTTCTTCGAAAAAAAATGAAATACGACATTGCTATAAACACGCTGTGAGTAATGTAACTATAAAATTAATTGCATAATATAATTGGAGCGTTTGTCCTTTGTGTTATCTTTTTGAGGTCAAAAAACCAAAACGGCATCGTTTTTTTAATAGATTTTGTGGTGACATGCGAAAGCATGTGGTGACATGTGAAAGAGTGTATAACTGAATTTACCTGCACTGAAGATCCAATGGCAATGAAAATACCAAGATCGACAAACTTGAAAGCCCACTTATAACGTTCAGATTTAAGACGCTTAGGATCAGCTGTAACCTTAAAAAGGTAACGGTATCGAATATTTTTTATACTGCATTAAGCAATGAAATGTAATGCTTATTATGAAAAAAATTAATGATCATTCATTTCAGTTGGGTAATACAGAATAAACAGGAATTACAGCTGTCTGAAACGGAATTAATTTAAGAAATAACTTGAAAATGGAAAGAATATGATTCTTGGGTAGCAAGTAGCAAGGTTCACCAGGTCGCAAGGATTAAGATTCTTCAGTAGTCGTCAAAATTTCTTAAATTTGTCTATTTTCATCGCAGACCACTCATCCTTTCAAAAGAATGCCCCACTGAGAACAACGTATATCTTGCTTACTATTAAGATCTCGCTTAGTAAGAGTGAAAATCCAGGTGCTATCATGCCGGTCATCACAGCTCCAACAAGACTGAGGATAATCAATGGAAGTTGCTGTATTTGTAGCTTTACTGCCTCAAGTGACAAGCCTCGTTTTTTTACCTGTAGAGATACATGATGATACATGCTAAGCACCTGAACATGTTGTTTTCAATATATTTTATCTGCCGTGCGATTATCGCAAAATAATCGGCAGCGAGCGATGTAGCATTCCAATTTTTTTAAATAATTATGCCATAGCCCCGACAAAACGTGGCATACCTATATCTTTTCACTATATAAATAAAGTTAGTGCCAATAAATTTTATGTGTTTTCGCATGCTTCGTTAGTTTTAGGAACCAGTTAATAAAAATTGTCATTAAAAACTCTCGATTAAAAAAATAAAATGCATTTGCAGCACTTTCTATAAAATTCAAGATGGCGGTTATATATGCAGGGAAATTATGTAATTGCTTACAATTGTTTGTTAAATCTACATTAGTCAACAATATTTAGATCTTAAACCATGCAGAAAAAAAAACTAGAATTGCTTTTTTTAGGGAATTACTCTTTGCGTTCAGGGACGCCAGAGCCTGAGAGGAAGCAAAAGGAACAGCCATTGTCTTTTACCAGCAAAGATACAGCAACAAAGAAAAAACATTCCCACTACAACAACATACCTGACTAAGTATTTTAGTCTCTAAGAAAGACTTTGCACCTTCAAAGCAATTTTTACCACGCTCTTTTATTCCCTCAATAGAAAACTTGCTCTTGACATTGGTTCCTACATAAAATTTTTACACAAAGCTAGTCGCATTTTTTGGTAGAGTACTGACGTGGCTGTGATACAGCGAAATCGATCCATTTTACCGCCAATGAACAAACCTTCCAAAGATTTGTATTGTATATAACACGATTTTTATTATTATTTGTATTGAGAATCCAAAGTGTGTCGAAATAGAGATACAGACGATATATCTTCGAAAACCACAAAGTACGAAAGGGATTGGACGTTAATTGAAAAACGGTTACACCAGCATATTTTCTTTGGTGTGAACCCAGGGCCGTAGCTAGAAGCTTAATTGGGGGGGATGGGGGGGGGGTATGTTCATATATTCATGCTTATATACCGTAGGAAGAATAGCGTACAAAAGAAATCATTCGGGAATAAGACGAATATATGAATATACACCCCCCCCCCCAATTAAGCTTCTTGCTACGGTCCTGTGTGGAACTTAGTATTATATCTTTTACTAAATCCATTTACCGCAAAAAAAACATAAAAAATTTTCGAGATATATTTCATGCAGTGTTACAAGAAATTTGTCAGAGACGTTTGCCTGAGCAATCTGAGCATAAACTTAATGTACTGTATCTAAAAATTTTCAAATACTGGATTGGAAGCTTGTAAGGATGAAAGATTGAGAAAATAGTGCCATATGCGGAGCTTTCGGTACTTATAGGCTATCTTATAGGCAAAATCTCTTTAGGATACCAAAAAAGTTGAAATTTGCAGAGAGGACTGTGGTTAGGGTCCGTCCCAGTCTTCTCTCCAAATTTCGACCTTTTGGGTATCCTAAGAAGCCATGGCCCTTGCTCATACCTTGCTTTGAATGACCAACATTTTCATACTTGTTATTTTTCTAAAAAAGTATTCAGAAATAACCTACTTAAAGTCCAGGAATAAAGTTGTATAATATATAATAGTATATTGAAATATAATAATACACTCGGCCTACTACGGCGGGAAAATAACAATGAAAATAATAACGTGTAATCTGATTGGCTTTCTATATACTAGACAGCTCATATCTGTCTAGGAGAGAAACCTAAACCAAAGGGCAGCTAAATTTGGGGACTTAAGGGACGATGAAACTCATGAAATGTGTATTCATTATTGTTCAAATTACGAATAAATTTGAAAGTTGTTTTTATCCCGCGCTTGTGTGTATAATATCACATAACTATACGAGTCAAGTTCGTTTTTATACATCCTGAATACGATGTTACTAAATAAGTCGGCCAAACATTGCTATAGACAGGCCTTTGATTTCTTTGTTTTTAAGAAAAGGAAACTAAAGTGTTATCAATAATATTTCTTTATCAGGAACATGCCTTTACTATATATTATTAATCTATTTGTATGGATAAAATCTCTAACCTTACTTTGGAATTTTTCTTTCATTTTCTCATTCAGTTTTTTAGGATTCCACATAGAAAACCCTTTTTTTCTATTCTGCGATGGCACGGTATTGTCTAAATCAGGGGCGGCAGGCGCATGGGGAACTAAAAAATCGAAGATTTACTTTTTATCGGCTACCACTGCATCGTCTTAAAAATTATAGCCTAAGCTTAATAAGCTTGGCAAGGTGTAACACCACCAAAGAAATTCAAAAAAATTTTTTTTGGGAGGGGGGTCTGGGGGGGGGGGCATGTGGCTGTATACGTATATATACCATGCAACCAACCCGAGTAACTTGATTAAGAGATAAAAAAATGAAATAAATATTGATCAGTAGAGACCGGCGTTCATCGTGCAAGCATAAAAGTAAAATACCAACCTGAGGTAGTCATATTATTGCGGTCAGGATCGTTTTTTCCACCGCAAAACTAAATGTAAAAATAACAATAGAAAATTTTTCATGTTTCTTGCTCAAAGGGACTGATTAGATACATTTTAATAAAACGTATACACCCGCCATTATTTCCGTTAACTTGGATTCGAAAGTCCGATTCTCGTCCTCGATCCATAATGTTATAAACAAATTCAATGCATTTTGAATTACCTGAACAATCAACTCGTCATTACATTTGTAACGATTTCCACCTTTCAACATCTTTCAAAGTAAGAAAAAACCAACCATGAAGAATAAAAAAGCACAGCCACCGACTGCATGAACTCGGCAATAATCGGTAATTCAAGTAAACTCAATTTTGACCTACCGCTTCGGGCCTGTTTGGATAATATTTGAAAAGTTCCTCTGGACTGGACAAATGTTCTAGAATTCTTCCAATAACATTGGGACGTTGATTTTCCTTGGTAAAAAAACAAGTTAAGATCATATAATGTATGTTCGCATGTTTATTGAACACATGTTCAGCTTGCGAATACTGGGTCCGTAAATGCATTGCATTCATTTGAATATACAACAACTTATATGAAAATCAAAACGATTACATTTATTACCACCTAAAAATTATAGCCTATACAAACAATACTGTTACGAACACCGATAGGTATCCACCTTAGTGGTCTTAAGCCGGTTTTCCACTAGCGATATTTTTCGCGCGAAGCGACTTTATTCCTTTGTATTTGAGCAATTTGTTCCAGATGGTTGCAGTTGAGAGCTCTGAAACAAAAGTAAAATGTCGCTTCGCGCGAAAAATATCGCTAGTGGAAAACCGGCTTTACAAGTTACAAGGATAAAATAAATATTTACCGCGTAAAATGAGACGATGGCCTACATATTTGAAGGATCACGGTATAGACGTATAGTCACAAATTTACGATTTGTTAGAGCGTCGATGGTCGCCATATATATATTACCTCCTCATTATCGGATGAGAGCATTGACTTATCATCTTTCTTATCCTTTCCTTCATCAACACCAACTGCACCACCGACATTAACAAGTTTAAGTACAGATGAAATTATCGCCATGAATATCTATAGAATTAAGATTTATCATAAATTAATTTCATGCAATTTGATGTGCTGCCTTAGCGGAAGTATACGTTGCTTTCGATCAATTGGATGCAAATCTATATTATAGGTTTTTATTATTTGTAATATGTCTGGTATTATGTAACGATACTATACTCATTTTCTTACTCTACTCATATCCATACATGTCAAGTTTACTTAGCAAATGACTGGCTCGTACGCAGTCTATGAAAAATTAAATTTTCAAATATAGAATACTAGAGCTAGGGAATCCATGCATTTACTTACTGAAATAAAGGCTCCAGGTGTCAAGGTTCCGTTTAATATGAGAATTGAGCTGAACCTTTAAAAGAAATCTATTTTAGAATCAAATGAAATCCCTTCTTACAATGACCTTAATTGGGACAGAATAAAAATTGATATTGATTTCACAGAACAAATTGTGCATGATTAAAGATCCATTATGGAAACTTGACAACTAATTCTCTATTTTGTATATTTCTTAAATTCTTGTTTAATTTTCAATTCATCTATAACGACAAAGAGAAAATTGTGCTATATACTTCTGATACTAAAAGCACTCACCAAAAGCCAATTCCAAGGAACACAAAGGCAATCACGATCATTATTCCAGCCCGAATAGCATCAACCAGACTACGAACTTTTGCAGCTTTGTCAGCAGCAAGCAAATTACTTGCAAACCTGATACCGGAAAAAGGAAAAATTCATTCAAAGGACTGCTCTGTCTGTTCAAACCCGTTTAAGCAGGCCAGTCTGGGCTTTTGAGCTCACAAAAACCATCATCTTTTTCTTTGAAAAGTAGTACACTCACTTCTTCTTTTCATAATCCTGCCCACCAAACGCTGCTACAGTTTGCACTTGTGAAAAAGCTCCTTTGGCAACACCCCTTGCTTTCTGCATAAGTAATTTCACTTTTTCCAATGCAATCGACTTGAGCTATTATAAAGGAAGATATTTTCTCGGTAGGGGTCAACTAAAAATCGAGACACAGGGGTTATATTATTCGTTCATTGTCTGAATTGGCTTTGTGGTTTGTAGCAAATATGCGTTCCGTATTGTTTGCTTATTTCTGTATATCATAAGCGAAAGGAAAGAAATAATACATTAGAGACTGACCCTTGTAACTAATTAAAATGTTTAAGAAACCTCATAATTTTCATAATTTTGTTTGGACTGTGTTCTCAAATTTGTTTCCGAGATTGTTCCTACCTTATTCATATAAAACATAACAGATGCTATGACTGGACCCGCGACTAACATCATTAACGTCAGTTGCCAATTTTGAATGAAACTGACAAGCATGCTTGAGGCAAAGTTGGCAACATTTTGAATGATCACGGTTATACGAGCACCAAATCCCTCTTCTTCTTCTTCCTCTTGCTCTTCTTCACTTTGAAATACAGAAGACCAAAAATCATTCAACAATGGTTCACCAGACATAGTTGGTGTTCAAACATGAAAACTTTACAAAAATTATTAAGATCACAGACAGCGACAAAATTATTTTTTAAAATGTATACCAACACAACCAATGCATGATTAAGCAACAGACTATCTTAATAATGTGTGCTAGGGAAAATGTCTTCTGGTTACTGCTGCTGTTTAGAACTGCTTAACCTATGAAATGCTTGACGAAAAAGTGTGAAGTCCCTCTAGCACACCCCCTCCTGTTACTCCGCGGTTCCTGTTTACACTGTCAAGGTTAATCCAAATTAAGTTGAAATTACCATGCGGCTCAACCCCCCTCTCCTTAATTTTACTTATCTTACTGTTGACACTGCTTTGTTGCACTCTGTTACTACGTACCCTTTCCTTTTACCGTCCCCGTCGCCTTTTCCATCCTCCACATCATCCTCTTGCCTTACTCTTTCATATTGATTCGCCCGAAAACATGAAAGTTCGGAAATACTCCAACACAACATTTGTCCGTACGAACACACAAATGTCGCCAAAGCTAGATAGCAATAATACATGGCATATTTTGATATTCTTTCTTCTTGGTCGGCAGGCGATGGTCCTATGCGCGTTTCGGTTTTTGTAGAGTTCTTAGGTCGCTTAGGTTGTAACCGTTTTAGTCCAGGTAAAACCGGATATCCATAGCCGGGTGGATGCAGGGGGTCGGTTTCCGGAGTCAGCACCAGGCGACTTGGAATCCTAGACTGATTTGCATTTTCCGAACTAGTTGCAAGAGTTTTTTGGATAATTTTGAGACTACTCAAGACTTCGTTGCTTTTTTCATTCTCCCCTTTGTTGTTCTATATGAAGGAATGAGAATTTACTGAGTCAATGTAATTAATCTATTAGGCATGCAGTTTGAAAGTTTAGATGGTGTTGCATTTGTATCCAAAAATTGATTTGCAACTATGACGATCAAAAACCGTAAACAGTGTCGCCCGCAAATTTAATTTGGTCTTCAATATTACAGAGTAATTATACAAAAGATGGATGTTAAAAATGGGGAATAATAGAGGGTGCTATATTTTAAGAAGAGTCTGAATTATGCGAATTAACTTCATAAGGTGATGCTACTGGGAAATTGTCTTTTACATGGTTCTTTATATCCGGTATATCCGGTTTATAAGTAAAGCCAAAATAGTGTACATTTTAGATAATCTTTTTGCAATATAGCTAGTGAGCGTAGATTAGAATGTTCCGGACAGTAAAATTGCCACGCGGTTACGGTTACTGAGTATTAGTAATATCACAAGAATCTATCACACTGAGAACAGAAACGATGGAAATGAACGCTTATATAAATAACCTTACAAGGAATATGTATACATCAAACAAATAGGTATATAATTCTGTGTGGTATCAACAACAAAAATATTTCCTGAAATACCTCTTTCGATATCTCTGATGGAAGAAAATTCGTATTGGTTAAGTTCTGGTTCATTGTATTGTTAGAGGTGTTATTTCCCAGAGTCATATTATTGCTATCTCCCGGAGGAATCATTAAATCATCCGTCAGCTTTCCATAAACCAACGAACTTAAAGGCTGTATAAAGCCGTTAATGATAGCCAATGCTGTACCAACAATCTTTAGAACTTTAATCACAGTCTTGCGAAATTCCTGTCAATATATGCGAAAATTGAAGTTGCAATATAAACAGGGGGCAGCGTGGCAGCGTCTTCAAACAACTTTGCATCAAATGTGGTATAACAACTGCCTAAAACAGACAAAAACACTTCTCGACGTTTCGACCTGAGGACCTCCGTCAGGAGAGTTAGTATGAAAATAAATAGGGGAGAATACATGTTTTGTATGGGGGCAAAATACGTGATAAAAATGGGCCAATAGAAAACAAAAAATCGAAACAAATTAGAACATTACGTTGCCAAAGAGACGCCTGACTAAGAACAGCCCGCAATTAGGGAAGTCTGATCAGAAACGAAAATATATTACAACCATGCAGCCGTGATGTATTAAAAAAAATTCAAGAATTGGAAGTCATATTACGCTGGGTGAATGAGCTTAAATGAAAGAGAGTCTTTCATTTATGCCGGAGGGATGAAGGATGCCAAGACTGTGGATGAATCGCATTTCGTGTCGTGTACGGCTACGTTAGTACCGGTAATGGGACAGAGGGCTCTGATTCTCATGTCCGTGACACAATGATTACCAGAAGTAAAGTGAGGGCAACAGGCTTGGTGTTATCGTGGTTTTTTGACCGACCTACCCTTAGAGATCTTCCAGTTTCACCGATGCATAGTAAACAAATGAGGTTGGAGGAGAAGCATATGAAATGGTGCCTGATGGAAAACTATGAATTGGGAGCCGAAATAACCACGATAACACCAAGCCTGTATGTTGCCTGACACTTTATCTATTTATTTATTATTTATTTTCGTACTAACTCTCCTGAAGAAGGCCGCTCAGGTCGTAGGCAGTTGTTATAAAACCACATTTGATGCTAAATTTGAAGTTGGTTGTCTCAGATTCAACTCTTTTTGATCAATTCTATTTGGTTAACAAACCTTTAGTTGTTTAAAACAATAAAATATCGTTCCAATAAATTAATCTGAGTGAACTAATTTTAAACTGGCACTGCTTCTAGAGCTTGTATATTAATATAGCCAATACATGCACAAGTATGCACGCTAGGCGACCAATCGCTGGATTCGCTGCAACAAATAACTGATTTATTACTAAGGTATGCTTGTGCGACAAATTCACCTGTGAGGCTGATACAAAGACTAGCGAAAAATCGTTGCAACACGTCGCAGAAACGGGAAATTTTAGAACATGTTTTGATTTTGTGCGACACGTTGAAGCGACAAAACTGCAGAATCTTTCGCAAAAATGTTCACACGATGAAATTTGTTGTTGCGACGTCGACGTGTCGACCTTGCTATATATGTAGCACCTACCTTTCCTATATAATCTACTGAACGTTTGTCATATCACTTACCGACTTGGCTTTATCTGCGTACTCTGAGTGCATAATATTGTGAATTGATTAATAACTTTTAATGTAACGTGAACTAACTCAATTCTGTTATTTTGCCCAACTTGTAGAATAAACGATTTATGATAGGATCCATAATATGATATCTTGAACTGACTTAACTGTAATATCATATGAACCAATTTTTTTCATCCATAACGTTTGGTGCTTTGATCCATAATCGAAGCTAAGTATGGCTTATAAACAATGCGACAGCAGGTTATTTTTATTTTCTTATCAAAACAAACAATGACGAATCTATGCCCTTTTGCCTCAGTGTTGCGACAGGTTTCGCTGCTCATAGCATGAGTATCGATAATCTATTATAGGCCTAGCTAAGTGACAAGAACACAATTAACTTTTATTGTAGAGCACTTGAAACTAAATTGGGCTGCTTGTAGTTTCAACTGTTCTATCATCCTTTGAAAAACAACTTAATTAATAGCCGCGTGTAACCCTATATATACTCTCTATAACTGAGCACGTATACGCAGGTATTATTGCTCTCAGACGATTGTCTTCGCTGCCTTGCACGAGCTTAAATTGTATAGACAATTAATTCCCTTGCAGTAAAAGGCCTCGATTCGACTCGGGACTTGTGTGTGTAAAGTCTAAAATGACGAATATAATATTTACAAGAAATTACAAATTTATTCGTTATTTGGAGTTCTGGAGTGGTTCTCCTTGGTTTACCTAAAAACGTTTACACTTGGTAGATGTCTTCTAGGACCGTACGTCCACGCAAGGGAAACCTTTTGTATGTGCATGTAAGTATAGTTTGACGCCCGCGCACATCCTGCATGTTGGTGGAAAATAGTGTTTTTTGCCGGTATAAAAAGTGTTTTCAGCAGTCAATTAAAAGACGGCTTGCGCACAAAAATGGGTCACTGAAGATGCAGTTTGACTAAACCAGAAGATTCAAAAAAACAGTAAAAAATTTGGGCATAAAATGTTCAACTTCTGATAGTTTTTTAATTATGTTTGAAGGCCACAATTAAAAGGTCTTTTATTTCTTAGGTTTATGTTTACTTTGGAACCTATATCAGATACGTAACTTATATGACCTATTTATCATTTTGCCGTTCAGCTGTGTCCTGATCCCTTTCCCGTCAGTTTGAACCTTGCCCGAACGATTGTTACTATAGTTTGTTTACGTTTTGGCCGAGCGGTATAGTTATTAATTCTGTTATGAAATCTGATCAAAATAACTTCAATTACGTCATTGAACCAAAATATTACTTGATGTCACCACGTCAAACATGGGTTTTCCCCAAGGGGCTTTCCTGGTATTATTAGCATTTAAATGCAAGTGCGTAAACAAAGCCGGGAGTTCAGACTTGAGCTGTCTTTAGACACGAGTTGACGTGTTTCAGAAGGCACTATAAACTACATTCAAAATTCACATATATACAAAATATTACTTTATTGATTGATTGACTTGCTCAATCACCAAATGGCGGATACACGAGCTCCAAAAAGCTGCGCTGTACCGGGTAAAGACGCTTCGAACATCCAAACATCAACTGATACAGCCAGTGGCGTAAAGTCACAGGAAACGCGAAAGCAACGATTGGAAGTAGAGAAAGCTCGCGCGGCTAAAAGAAATTTAGAAAAAGATAATGTTAAAAAGGTAATGATCAGGGTCGGTCGTTTGTTTGTTCGAAAGGCATTTAGCACGGTGGATAACCCAACGTTTACTGAAGCTTTTTGAAAATACTTGGAAGCATAGAACTTGTGAAATCGTGAAAGCTGTGTCTCAACACATCAAGGCGCGTCTTCTAATCTGTTTTAGTAATTATAGGGCAGGTAAAGAGAGCCCCCTAACAAAAATTCGGGTGATTTCATCTGATTCAAAACGTTTGCGTTTTAAACATAAACAAACGGGAAATATTTTGCACGCTCCAAGCTTGAACGCAACGCTTAACGAGATATCTAAAACTATATACTCCTTGCCACACTCATCAGGTAAATATACAGTTTATATATATATATATATATATATATATATATATATATATATATATATATATATATATATATATATACTGTCGTTGTCAAAAAGGTTGTCCTGAGCAAGTATATGTATATATCGATCACGTGACATTATTATGCATCAACACGCGTGGGATTGTACAAGCGTGTTAATTGCGAGTTCGAGTATAGCAAGGTGAACGATTAGAAAATGCCAAGACCATATTCGGATGATTTAAGGTGGAGAATGGTTTATCAACGACTGTTCTACAAAAGAATCATCGACGAAATTGCAGCACAGCTATTTGTTTGTTCAAAAACCGTCTATCGTACTCTCAGCACCTTTTGGAACACGGGTGATGTGAAGCCTTGCCGTATGGGTCGCCCAACAGCGAGGGTATCTTTATTCCCACACGAAGAATATATTATCATGGACTGTTTACTGCGAACGCCGCAAATACAGTTGAATGAGATAGCAGGCTATATCATTAATGCTACTGGCTCTGCATTTGGCCCGGAGACACTGTGCCGAGCTCTCTATAGGCTTGGAATAACACGCAAAAAGGTATACGAACATTATTTTAGTTGGAATATATACTTAATACCGCATACTGGAAATCATATAACTATATTAATAAGACGCAAGCCATTCCACCTTTTTCCAATTTATTACAAGATTCTAGTTGTTCTTTATCAACTCTTCAAGCCACATTTTCTTCTTCAGATACAGAGAATTGCCCTTCAGCGAAGAAACGATATTGGGCTACAATTCATGGCCGAAATCAGCCTTTTTGACCCAAACCTGCTCGTTTTCCTCGATGAAACAGGCATTGTATGTACTAAATAATACCTTACTGTAACTGGATTGCACAAACTAGTAGATCTTTTATTTATTTGGTTCTACGTTTTAAAGATAAACGACTTGCTCGGCAATATGGATATAGTGCTCGTGGGATACCGCCTGTTGTGAGCGACTATAGCTATGCACGGTGGACACCTCGCTATTCCATTATTTCGGCAATATCGTGTGATGGACTTCTTGCGAACTGTTTGTTAAAGAATCCTGAAGAAAGATTTGAAACACGCTGCTTTATCCATTTTCTTGATGAACAGCTTTTACCAGCTATGAATCGATTTGATGGGGAAAACCCGCGATCCGTTCTCGTTATGGTTGAGATTTGAATATAATTAATGCAAATTCGCTGTTCTAACATATGTCTCAAAGGATGACTGAACTTGTGATCATGTTTTGATCTATTAATATCTGTTTAAACAAAACTTGTTGATGCACAAAGATGCAACTGCTAAAACTAGTAATATGCATATTGTTTAACAGATAACCACCCAACACATCATGTACAAGAAGTTGTAGAACGAGTGTACGACAGTCCTGATTTGAATCCTATTGAAGAGGTTTACATATAGCTTGCTATCTCATTCAACTATATTTGCGGCGTTCGCATTAAACAGTCCATGATAATATATTCTTCGTGTGGGAATAAAGATACGCTTGCTGTTGGGCGACCCATACGGCAAGGCTTCACATCACCCGTGTTCCAAAAGGTGCTGAGAGTACGATAGACGGTTTTTGAACAAACAAATAGCTGTGCTGCAATTTCGTCGATGATTCTTTCGTAGAACAGTCGTTGATAAACCATTCTCCACCTTAAATCATCCGAATATGGTCTTGGCATTTTTTAATCGTTCACCTTGCTATACTCGAACTCGCAATTAACACGCTTGTACAATCCCACGCGTGTTGATGCATAATAATGTCACGTGATCGATATATACATATACTTGCTCAGGACAACCTTTTTGACAACGACAGTATATATATATATATATATATATATATATATATATATATATATATATATACACCCATTTGCAAAAACGTTGGCCCCAGATAGATAGATAGATAGATACTCGAAGTCTAATTAGAATTGCATATGATTACATTTGCATGGGATTTCAATCATATTACACAACATATGCAATTCTAATTAGATTTCGAGTGTCTATCTATCTATCTATCTGCGGCCAACGTTTTTGCAAATGGGTGTATATATATATATATATATATATATATATATATATATATATATATATATATATATATATATATATATATATAATTTGTAAGCATGAGCAAGCATGCAAGCAATGAGCATTTTTAATAATACATAAAAGCAATTATACGCTACGTCACCCTCGCTGATCATGATATTACATACTAATATCATGACATGAGGGAAGTTAGTGATTAAATGCCCCCTCAGGCTCGGGAAGTTTGTGTAATTCCCTCGAGCCTTACACAAACCTCCCTCGCCTTACACAAACCCCCCTCGCCTTCGGGGCATTTAATCACTAATTTCCCTCATGTCATGATATTACTTATAATAAGACTCGCTTAGGTACTCGGAGTTTCACGCATGTCGGTTGAAGATTTTGTGGAGTGTGTTGGAAGGTGGGAAGTGTTTGTCTAACAGTTGTAGGAATTGTTGTCCGATGTTCGTTTTTACGCGTACCCAAAGTACAACGGAAGTGCGAACACTTTTCGACAACGGTCGACAAAGGACAAATTGTAAATATTGTTAATAAATATTTTTGCGTACAAACAATTTTACTGCGTCGTGCATAAAAAAGCTGATCGCAAACATTTATAAACTTGTGTCTCCCAACAGAGTGCTTGGGCATTCAAACTCTAACAATTACATTGTTAACCCTAACAATTACATTGTTATGGGTGATTTAAATAGTTTTCGTTTTTTTGAGACACCCTGTATATGTATAATATAGAATAAACAATCCTATAGCTCCAGTCCTTACTACAGCTTTATTGTATAGAAACAGGTGCCACAATACAATTGCAAACAAAAGTCTAAAATAGTATAAAATTCAGCAAAATTCGTATTTATTTCTTTTGATGCACTTAGAAGAAGGTTTCCTCATTAGCAGGCTATAACATTTTTTTAGCAAATCATGGAAGTGTGCAGTGATGGCATGAAATGGGGTGATTCAAAGAAAATTGAAGACTTACCAGCAATACCATATCTTTGTAAATTATTGAAAAAACTAGCAGGTACAGTATGTGTCTATGAAGGATATCTTTGTAAATTATTGAAAAAACTAGCACGTATAGTATGTGTCTATGAAGTATATAGCATGGTTAGTGCGACAAAAAAACCTCCATTCTCCCGGGTTTTTACTACTCAACATCAGAAAGAAATCGTGATGGAAATCGCAAAATAGGGCAAAAACGTAGCACGACTACCCTACCAAATTTCCACCACATAGACTGTCAATTAGTGGCTTCCGAAATGAAAATATCCTAGAAAGTTTAGAGAGTTTTTCTCCATGTATGTTTTGGGGCAAACAAATGGTCTAAATTTTCTTTTTTTTTCAAAGAACTCTCCGAGATAAATATAGAATGTGACGTCATGCAAGGACCTGAAGATTTTCCATGTCTTTTAAAACTGCTGAAGAAACACCACTACAGCTATTGCAACCTAACGGAGTGCTGTGAAATCCTAAACAAAATTTTGGACATCTCGGGACCCGCATACACGACACTGAGCCAGGCGGAAATCTTGAAAGAGCTCAGTGATTTATTGACCACCAAAGCGAGTTACAACGATGCAATAAAGAAAGCAGAGCAATTAGAGCAACTGGCAATTGCACTTGGAGATAAGAAGCTTGCAGGAGAGGCATATCATCTTCACCTTACGCCACTATGTTTAAAGGGATCGATAGAAGATGCAAAGCTAGTTTTGGAGAAATGTGTGCGTTGCAGTGAAGAGTCGGGAGACGAGTTAACAATAGGTATATCATTAATTAAAAAATCGCGTTTCTAAGCGGGGTTTGTTGTAACAGCAAGTCGACAAGGTATACTATTTGATGTTAGTTTGAACTAAAACAATATTTTCATTATTAAAAACGAGTAAAAACTCTTGAAAAGAGCAGCCTTGAAGCAACCTGTATACATTACCACCCTCCCAAACGGGGATAAAGGTCTTCTTAGGCATGCGTGTCAGCATAATAATCCCACTCATACTCATAATTATACTCTCCGCTGTCTTATGTTATAAAGTTTTATTTGATTACTTTTAAGGTTATTCCAAACTAGCGACAGCCAAATTATACTGCATGGAACAAAAATACGATCTAGCTCTTGAAGAAGAAGAAAAAGTTTTGGAAATCGCTAAACGACTAAACAACAAAATCGCAGAATGTGAAGCCACATTACATAAGGCAGCAATCTACTGCAACCTTTTTAAAATGCAGGAAGCCTTAAATCTCTCCTCTAAAGGGTTAAAAATGGCTATGGATTTAGGATATCACAAAAAGGTTATGCAAACAAAAGTTAACCAGTTTTCTTTATTCTCCCTAATGGGGAAGTATAGAAGATCGTACCACATCGGAAAAGAAATTGTCGAAAATTTGAGTTTATATGAAGACAAAAGATTTGTGTATACAGTGCTTAACAATGTGAGCGTTGCTGCACTTATTCTTAACAAAGATGAAGAAGCCTTGAAGCTGGCACAGCAGTCGTTAGTTGTTGCTGAGGATTTAGGCGCGGGAAAGCCTATTGCTTTAGCTCACGGCAATATAGGTCTTGCACAGGCGAAATTGCAAGATTTTGAAGCAGCGATGAAAAGTTATTACAAATGTCTGGAATTTGGTGAAAAGATAAAAGATATGAGAATCATTAATAATAGTTACTGTAACCTTGGCAGAGCTCTCGAGGGGAAAGGTAGACGTGAATATCTTACTTTAATCTCTACATTATACAACCGAACATGCAGGCGGACTATAGTTGCTTTAGGGAGAATGGTCCTTGTTTAAAATATCAGTAGCTAGTTGTTGGCGAGATTCCTTAATAATTGATAACCATTCAGGGAGTAAAGGCGAATTTCCACTCAGTACAAAATGTCGCGCGATCAATTTTTTGCGATTGCTTTCTTTTGAAATGTGTTCAAGCTCGTCTGCATGATGAGATCAGTTCCGCCTGATTGCCTGTATTTCAAAGAAAAGAAATCCGCGCCACATTTCGCACTAAATAAAAATCTACCTTAACAAAACGAATCGTCAAAAACCAAACAACATTCTTCCAGCACTAATTCGATTGTCCAGATCATTTTTAAAGTATGTTTCATAGTTGTTGTTTTTTACTGTTTCAAACCATGAATGCACCCTGAAGCGTATAAACGTATAGCAATTTATATGAAAGCCACTTTTTTTAAGAACTGAATGAACCGGTTATTTATTTTTCGCCGAGAAAGGACATCATTTAATGTCACACAGGACGACAAAAGCTTTTGGCTTAGAAGCAAGCTGAATATATATTATACTGTCTAGGTCAAAGTACAATTGTTCAGAGTGTTTAGGTTTTACTACGTGTTAAGAAAAGTATTCTAGAACTTGTGAATTGTGCAAGTTATAGTTTAACCACACTTCACTACCATAAAATACAATTGCTACAAGTTTCATTAATCATTGTTGTTATTTGTAGGCAATAAAGAAAAGGCAAAGAAGTATTATCACAAAGCTCTGAGCACGCCTCAGCCACCGTCATCTCATTGGTGCGATACCGAAAAATTTCGTTTCAGTCCTGATTACCTTCTTGGGAAAATGGCAGTCGAGGAGAATGATTATCAAACAGCAAAGGCATATTTTCAAGAGGTTGTGAACCGTTGTGAAACGTTTCGCAAGAGTGTTCAAGACACTCCTTTGAAGATTTGCTTCAACGATACACAGAGGAAACCATTCCAGTACTTGCAACACGTGCTTTTAAAAGAAAATGCCGGTGCAGATGCACTGTTCGTCGGCGAGATGGGCAGAGGAAGAGATTTTTATGATAAGGTATCTTGACATGCAACGCTACATTGCAAGGGCTCATTGGTATCCATTGATAAAAAGCTGCTAAACAGAAGGGGCTGAAATGAAATGAAATGAGATGAGATGAGATGAAATGAAATAACATTCATTTATTCGTTCACTTTTTCTTTCATTCACTGGTTCACTTACCCACTCGTTCATTCAATCTTTTATTCATTAAGCATTCATTTATTCATTTATTTATTTATTCATTCATTCATTCATTTACTTATCTATTTTGTGTATCCATATCTTTAAGGTAATAAAGGAAGACCAGTCGAAGCAACTTAACACGCCGACGGCACTTTTGGAGTTAGCAAAAACAAACAAGCAAGCGATACTTTTTCTATCCAAACTGGACGTTGTCCAAGAAATGCAAATGTGGTTCATTTCACCAAATGGCGAAATCACTTCTTTCGGAAAAAAGCTTAATGAATGGGAAAAACCTCTTGAATATTTAAGCATTGTGTTTGGTAGAGGTATAAAGGATGAAGCACAGAATCAGCAACCTACAAAAAATGTGGCGGAGGACATCACTAGCTTGCACAGTTACGTGACTGAAGGGGTTCACAATTCAGAAAGTTGCAATGTTTCAACGACCAGCCTAGAGTCGTCGCATCCAATTGAAATCAGAGGTTTGTATCAATGAAATCAATAAAATATTTATATAAAGACTCATGGGTCAAAAACAAGGCAGAATCACATAGCAAATTTTCCTTACGTATGGAAAAGAAAAATAAGCGGTTATACAGCTCACTACTGACTCAATTCGCAATATTAAAACCGGTGACGACATTTCGATCCTGAATTTTTTTTTAAAATAAGTTGAGATTTGGGAAAAAATTTCCAGTGGAACTTATACACAATCTAATTCATGCCGAGATCAGTTGAGAAAAATTCCGCTAAACCGACATGTAACAACTATACGTATAATCGATATATCATCTCTTTTTGCTGGAGATTATAACTCGAGTTCGTTTTTATAGGTATTAAAAACAATGTCCTAAATGACGATGACATCGAATACGAATCTGAAGATGATGATGATGATATCGAATTTGAAGAGGGAAGTGGGACAAATTGTTATCAATCTGGAGCTACATCTAATAGTGGTGAAGACACCGTAAACCAAACCTCCCCAGCCACCCGTGGACCTTCGAAGATACCTAACTTTTCCACACTTATTGAAAAATTTAGCAAGCTAATTGTAGAACCAATTGAAGACAAATTGGAAAACCTGGTTACAGAGACTGACCGCAAACCACAACTACTGATTATTCCACAAGGAGAAACGTTTAACATACCATATTCAACGTTGCGTCTTAGTAATGGCGAGCCGTTATGTAGTTTGGTGGCACCTCGGGAAGCGTTCTCTTTCCACTCTTATTCCTACAGTACGGCACTGCAAGAAGAGATGTCGCAGGTTAGGAAATCAATCAGATTCATCATGTTGCCCACACTGGTAATATAAGGGACACCAAGTCTGCTATAGAAGGCTAGGAAGTCAGTTAATGCGAAAAATGGTGATGCTTTCGATGAATGGCAAATTGAAATTCAAATTTCAAAATATTAAAGTTATTTCAAACGTATTTCGATTTAACTAAAATAACTCCATTTCACAGATGTTACTTTTTTCGTGATTTTGTTTTGAATCACCCAAAAATTTTTGAGCAATAGATCGTGAAAATAATAAATACACAGTGGAAAGAAATAGAACTATATATATACAGATATATATATATATATATATATATATATATATATATATATATATATATATATATATATACAAAAAAGAAATGACTTCAAGACATTCGCTTTTGAAGACATTTCAAAGCTGACGCATTCTCCGAGGCAGGCAATTTCTAGTTGCCTCGATGGATCTTTTAATTGCGTTTTGTGCTTTATGTATAGGTGACTCAAATGAAAGACATTCTTATCGTTGGCAATCCGACAGAAGACCTCCCATTTGCTGAAAAAGAAGCAAAGATTATTGCAGAAAAGGTTGGAGTGTCGCCGTTATTGAGATATTCCGCCACCCGCAGTGAAGTTCTGCGCCGAATTTCGCAAGCAGCCATAATTCATTTCGCGTGTCATGGCACGACCGACGGAAGACGCTTGCAACTTGCAGCCGAACATGTTAATAACAAGTAAGTCCTTTTTTAAGTCCTTTTCCAACTTTCAATACTTTTGCAATTTGAAACATTGGCACAATGCCGGTATTTAAAACAATTAGCCTTTCTCACGATGACGAATATGCCGCCATTTTTGGGGTACTTTTTTTCAAAACCCCAAGCGTGAGACATCATAACGGCAACAGTCTTTAATTTTAGGCTGGAGTTATTCTTCAAATGGTCTGTTGGTTTTAAAAAAAATGCTTTTCATTTTAAATTATAATTTTTAAACCCATCTCAGAAAATTGAAAGTACCCCAAAACGTCATCGTGTGAAAGGCTAATTGCCATTTTTTCCCAATATTTAGCGGCGAAAAAGCAGGTTCAACCTACCTTACTGTGGAAGATCTCTCGAACGTGACCTTATCGGCTAACATGGTTGTCCTTAGTGCCTGCCACACTGCCCAGGGCAAGATCAGTAGCGAAGGCGTGTTGGGACTTGCGCGTGCTTTTCTGATGGCAGGAGCAAAGTCAGTGATTACCTCACTGTGGGCAGTTGATGACAATGCCGCAGAGACATTGATGTTGAAGTTTTACAACAATCTTTACAACGAACCTGTCGTCAACGCCTTGGCAACCACCATGTGTGAGATGAAAAGAGAAAACTTTAGAGTGTCTCAATGGGGCTGTTTCAAAGTTCTTGGGGCAAACATTAGAGTATTTGCTGATGATGTTTGAATTTGACGAACGTATAAATGTTAACCCACTGCCAGTCGTGCGTTTCATACAACAATCCAGATGTTTGATGTATTTTTTAAGTTATTTGTTGAAAATCCACCATGATATAGCTTATAGGTTGCAACAGCTAGTAGTGCGCGTACACTTGTTGTATATATATTGATTTCCAAATGCATGTAAACTATCGGCCATGTTAATTAGTATACTAGGACGAGTAAACAATTAGTAAGACAAAAGTATGTATACTCACAACAGCCTTATTTAGTAACTGCATGAATATATAGAAACTATACTGTAATGTCTAATAATACTGTAAATCGCGCAAAATACAACCGCATACGTCAGTGTAAATGTTAATTAATTAAATAAAACTAAAATCACCGCTATTATTACTATAACACTGGTGTTCCTCAAGGTGCTAGGTAAAAGGCGATTTATTGGGCAATTTCAGACTGTTTGCAAAATAATTTTAAATCAGCTACAGTGACATGTTATGATCAATCCATCTAACTTGATTTATTGTTAAAATGTTCTCCTCTCAGTGTTAAAAATACAATATTGCACAAAACAATCTAATATTGCCTTGCTGGAAAACAACAAATCATACATACAAGCTTTTAACTCCTCAGTATCAGATACTCCAAGATAATTTGTTTTCAATCTCTATTGTCAAGCCGCAAAGATTTATTAATATCCATCTCTCAAACGGATTTGTAAAAGGAAAAAGGTATGCCTTACAAAATATGCAGATACATGTTTCGAATGAATAACTGGGGGAAAATGCATCTTCTTTCATGCTAAGCATGAAGTTAGAGTATTGATGATAAGGATGCTAGCGTCTAAAGACTTGGAAAATTTTAATAAATTGTCTTATCCTCTGACTTCCTACCAAAGGTGTATGTAGCATTAGTCCTGTCCAACAAGACACATGGTTTTTACACAGTGCACTCTAGGAGTTAATGAATATTATTGTTCATTATAATCTCTCCTAGCTTGAACACATTGAACAATCATTAATGTTTTATTTAATTCAATGCAGTCGTATTATCCTCTACTCTCCTATTACTGCTATATACTAGTGCATGCTGGGCGTGAGAAGATAATTCAAGATATTAGAAGTAACACGATATAGTGAATTATTGTCAATACAAAATGCTTCAATGCTCAATTTTAAAAAACGCACGAGTCAATATATGCGTTCTTATACTTTTTTACATTCAAGGAACCTTAACGAAACTATTTACCTATTGTTTCCTGCAAACCTACAAAATTTACAATGTTGCGTCTTCGGAATGCTAGCTAAGGCCCGTTTTTCCGAAATGTAAATAAGGGTAATAAGGATGCTTTCGATTGCTTGGGGTGCTTTCAATTGGTTACGGGGAAAAAAATCTGCAGCGCCTCTAGTTGTAAACATAATTCATGGGACATGCAATTGATATTTCCCAAAATCTGCGAACTAGGATCAGGAGATTCCGGCCATGTTTCACAGACAAAAACTCTGAATTTCGTATGTAAAATGGAATTATTCTATCTTCTGATTCTCCTCACGATTATAGGTGTTCTAACTACTTGAACGATCATTGCGGACCACACATTATGACCATGTAGAGATAGCTATATTAGCATCCTTATTGGCTTATGTCGGGCTAACTAATTCCCGCCTGGTCATTATTACTTCCGACAATATTGTCGGGCAGAAGCAAAACATTAATTATCTGTGCAAGTATTTGGGCTAAAGACCCCGGAATACCACTAAACCGTCTAAACGATAGCGGTTGAAACGATTATTTATATAGTATATTCAAACCAACATATAGTTATAAACTGCATTTGTATTATACGTCAAAACAAGAATCAAAATAATATAGGTTGCTTTGTTTGTTTGGCTTATGTCGGGCTAAATGCCGCCGGAATCTTGATTTATTATATCGGAAGCTTATTGTATTATATGAACTTGTAGAATATAGAATAAAGACAACGCATTTACATTGTGAAATTTGCAACATTGAGATCAACGAAACGAAAGCTCGCATGTACACGTACCCACGTAATATATGTTAGCTACCACAAATTGGACATTGAAGATATACTCAGGATGCAAAATTTTAAGAATATGATGAGAAGTTAATTATTGCTACTGAAAATTTCTAATTTGTAATTTTCAACGCTCCTATATCGATCGCAGAACTCCTAAAACTCGAATAAATTTGTAAGCACTAACAAGCGCGGCTATATTTTGTAATTTCTATTTTAGTTGTGACGTTGCCACCGTATTAAACAACGAGGAATACGTAGGAATTGATGAGGCATCAATTAAAGTATTTCTCAGAAAACCAGCACTTCGAGTAGGGCTCACACACGTCGCTGCCAATCACAGCTGGTGTTGCATGTGAAATTGCGAGTACCTAACAAAATTATAAAAGAGTTTCATCGGAATAAAATTGTACAAATATCAAGATAAGGTCCCTTGACTTCCCTTCTTATACAGCAGTTTAATTTTCTGAAAATCAAATCGTGGTTACATAATCTATTCAAAATAACAAATTACGTAGCTAATGGTTTCGAAACATGACTTGCATTTGCAATATTTAATTACGTCACTGTTTTATAATAATATGGGATTTCCCGGAAGGGGTTTCCTTGGAGAATCATAGTTTACATGTCTTTAAATAGATGACGCTCGTTGAAACGATTCGGAAATCGACTGTCTTTAGTACAAGATACAGGCCTGCGAGAGACGCACTAATCGGTATTTATAACAGAAAATTTACTTCACCGATTGATTGAGTAGTTGAATAACTAAATGGCGCATGCAAGAGCGCCAAAAAGCTTTGATGTAGCGATTACAAACACAACAACTACAATTCCAGTCGATTACGATCGGGAGAAATCACACCAATCGCGAAAGCAACGATTGGAACATGGGAAATCTCGGAAGCCGAGCAGAATTTACGGAAGGATATTGTTAAAAAAGGTAGCAATAATAAAATATGCATTTAATTTGCTTAGTTTTATGCTTTTAACTGTAAATCGTATATATATACAGACATTGTGTAAACTTCCGTTATTAGGGCTAATTGAAAATACCGATATACTATTATATAAACACCAATTATCCTTAATAATGTTTTACGGGAATGGAAGGGAAGGCCTATAAATATACAGGGGCAACGATCTTTATATCAAAAAGGGGCTGGTTCAGTCAGGCTGAAATGGCGAAATCAAATGCAACTCTAAACATCTGGGACGATATTTCTTTCACCTCACGAGTCATTTGCAAAAAAATATTTTTGTTTTACGTATATGCATCTCTATAGTGAAGTGAAAGACGTTTCAGCCGTCTGACAACGAAAGATGGCTGACGAGGCTCATATATATGTAGCTAGTGAGAACAAAAGTGCTTTCGGTGAGAACAACGAATCGGGTATATCAACTTCATCCCTAATGACTTCTACAAAACAAACGTTTGAATATTCAATTACTGTTACGGACCTTTTTCTTCTCCTGGCTTTGTTTTTTCTGTTGGATCAAATGATGTACGCTGTCACTGTCATTGATTCACTCATCTTCGGTAGGGAAGGGAATTTCCTTACTTTAGGTCTTTTGTACATAAACTGTAGGAAAACCGCAAAAGGGATTCTTCTTTCGATCTATTTTGTGGCCAATGATATCAGCGACATTAGATATATTATTAATGTTATTATGCTGTATGGAGCCTGATAAGCCTGTATATGAGCTGATTCTTAAGACGTCACAATCGTAAGCTATTCTGAAGTTGTAATATACAAATATACAATTATTTGAATAGTGTGAAATCTAACGGTGCATTGCACTTTTCCATTGCATCAGCCTTTCTCGTAACGAAGATTATCCGTCCTTTTTGGGATACCAAACTTGTCAGTGACAAGTAGTCATTATTGGCGGGTATCCGTCGACGTGAGAAGGCTAATGTGCTTAACTATGAGTGCTCAGGTAAACGCAAGCTATAACTGACAGACCAGAATACAGTCCAGAATACGGTATCTTCATTGGCATCAGCTGGTACACTTTCTTTTTATAGCAAATCATGGAAGCGTGTATGGGCCTTAAGTTAGGTGATTCTGAAAAATTAGAAGACTTACCAGCAATACCAAATCTATGTCAATTGTTGAAGACACTTGCAGGTATGTGTCCGTAGACCTGAAAATCGTCACGTTCCTACAAGACGTTCAATTACAGAATATCCTAACAAGATTATTATGGGATTTTCTGAATGTGGGAGGTGTGGAGATGACAACCTCCAAAAAAAATGCTTTGCGATTGGGTGAAAAAGCGTTAAATTTAAGTAAATTTCTCAAAAGTGAGTATATCTTTATCAAAACGTTGGTCAAGATCGAATGATTCGATCACCACGATCCCTCGCTCCGTCCCCGAATGTAAGTTTTAATGCAAGATTGATCGCTTGTACTGAGCATGGATATTTGTTTTGGTGTTTTTTAGAACTCTCCGACGTGACGATAGACAGTGACCTCATGCAGGGTCCAAAAGACTTTTCATGTCTTATGCAAATATTAAAAAAACATCGCTTCGGTTACAGCAACTTCGCCGAATGTCGCGAAGTTCTAGCCCAACTTTTGAAAATCTCGGGTTCACCATACACGTCACAGAACCAAGCAGGACTTTTGAAAGAACTCAGCTACTTATGGAACACGAATCTTTCGAAAGCGAGCTACGATAACGCAATCATAACCGCAAAACAGTTGGCAAAACTGGCAATTACATTAAATGATAAGAAGCTTGAAGGAGAGGCATATTATCTTCACATCGATGCACTGTTTTCAAATGGCTTGATAGAAGATGCGAAGCTTATTTTAGAGAAATGTTTGCATTGCAGTGAAGTGTCAGGAGACCAGTTGACAATAGGTACGTAAGGAAATCAGTGTTTTTAAAAATTTGAAGCTTTTTTGAACATTGCACGCAGAAAAACATGCAAACAAGTCAAAATACAGACAACAAGACAACGGGAAGAACACATCCGTTAGTTGGATTTGCAGAACATCTTTTAAAAATTTTTTGATATACTCCAAGGCCAGGTAGCAAAAAATAAAATTATTTCACAAAAAGTACATTTCGTTGTAAACATTACAAATTTATTCATTCACATATCATTCAAGTCCGAATATCTTATGTTATTTGCGTTACATGAAAATTGCACGAAAGGGGTATAAATTAACTTATTAGGCATACCTGGTCCCACATGTCACAAATCCTTATAGATTTGCATGTGTGACACACCTTTGATTCAAATTATTAACCTTAATCAATAACCTTATAGGTTACTCCCAACTGGCCGCGGCGAAAATATACTACATGGAACAAAAGTACGAGCTAGCTCTGGCAGAGGAAGAAAAATGTCTAGAAATTGCCAAACGACTAAACGACAAACTCGTGGAATGCGAAGCCACATTACAAATGGCGAGAAACCACTGTTACCTTTTTAACATACAGAAAGCTTTAAATCTCTTTTCCGAGGGGTTAAAAGTGGCTACAGATTTAGGACATCGTAAAAAGATTATGAAAACTAAAATTAACCTATCTTCCATCTACACTTTAATGGGGGAATACAGAAAATCCTATCAAATTAGCAAACATTTAAGGAAGTATGCGAGTTCATATGAAGACCAAGAGTTTGTGTATACAGTTCTTTGCAACCTGTGCGTCAATGCACTTCTTCTCAACGAAGATAAAAAGTCCTTAAAGCTGGCCCGTAAATCGTTGGCGGTGGCTGAGGAGTCTGGCGTAAAAAAGCATATTGCTTTAGCTCATGGCAACATAGGCCTGGCTCAGTTGAAATTACAAGATTTTGATGATGCACTCGAAAGTTTTGAGAAATCTCTCAAACTAGGTGAAGAAATTAATGATAACAGGATTATTAACAACAATTATTGTAATCTTGGAAAAGCTTACGAGGGGAAAGGTGCGCATTAAATAAACTTTTCTTAAACAGTCAGTTAATTTATAAAATAACATGTGCATGCATGTATAACGCATGTTCTGATTGGACGAAGCCCGTGTTTGGATCAGGCCGAAATTTAATTCGTCTTTTAAAATCAAACTTGGAACTCTACCTTGTTGTTGCCATTTCACAAAACAACTACTGAATGGTTTTCCGTTCTTCGATGGCCTGATCTAAACACTTGGGAATGTAACTCGCCTTCGCTCCCTTTTCTTAACTTTCGCAACATTCCCGCGTGTTTGTATCCAAGTTTGTTTAGGCAATCCAAAAACGGAAACCATTAAGCCTAATTTTTTATTAAAAATATTTATTTATGCATGCATGGTGCAATCGATTTACGGTTTTTTCATATTCGAGACGAATCGTAGATATTTAGCTCTTTAAATAAGTGCAAAGCTTCGTTTAAACCAGCAGTTATGGAAAAGCTTAATGTTCAACAACTCGGATCGTCGATCATGCACTTCACATGCTATAATTATCATGATGCATTAGTTGGCGAAATCCACAGATGGGAATGGCGCCACTATTAGAGTAATTCTCTTCCACTTCCGGAAAGCGTTTGACTTAATCGACCGCGGAGCTCTTGCAAAAAGTTATCCCAACATAACATCCCAAGACAATTATGTGTTCGATCTTGGATTTTTTGGTGTCTCAAAAACAAAGGGTGAAGTTGAGGAATGATTAATTGTTACTCGGAATGGAGGCCTGTCCCGGCAGGTGTACCGCAGGGAACAAAATTCGGCTATTCCTAGTAATGATGTGGGCAACGTAGATCTTTAGAAGTATACGGACGATACTACTCTTGCACAATCAATAAAGAAAGAAGAGCTTAGCTCCATGCAAACGTATGTAGATGAACTTATTACAAAGACTGAGGCGGACGGTTTCCAACTTAACGAGGCAAAATGTAAAGAGTTCCGTGTTAGTTTCTCAAAGTCTAATAACTAGTTTGAACCGATTGTAAACAACAAAAAGAACGTCGAACTCGTCACTTTAGCAAAACGTTTGGGCTTAACGATATCAAACGATCTAAGGTGGAATACTCATGTATCGCGGAGATTTGCCAGAATGTGGCATCACGATTGTATTTCCTCGGACAGCTTAAACGTGCTAAACTACCAACCAAAGGGCTTATTTTATTCTTTATCACTTGCATTCGCCCCATAATAGAGTACGTGGGTGAAGTTTTCCATAACTCTTTACCTCAATACCTATCTGACGATCTAGAGAGTCTACGTGCTCTATTATATACGCCCCGAACTGTCTTATAGCCAAGCTCTGCGAACGGTGAACCTTGGAACACTGTCCAGTGGACAACAGACTCTAAATGACAAGTTAGTTTCAGGAAATTATCGATGATAATTCACACAAACTGCTTTCAAAAACAATAGTACCGTATGTTTACGCAACAAACGCATGCTCCAGCTTCCAAAATGTAAGACAAGTAGATTGAAGAATAGTTTTATCCCATATAATTCTTATAGATGCTCGTCTTTTAGTGTAAAATAAGTATATATACTTTTTAATGTAAAGGTTATTATAATTCAGCCTTCCATAAAGCCCCAAACCTCCCACCCAACGTGAGACATGTATATATATATATATATATATATATATTATATATATAATATTAATATAATATATTATATATATAATAATATACACACCCATTTGCAAAAACGTTGGCCGCAGATAGATAGATAGATAGATACTCGAAGTCTAATTAGAATTGCATATGATTACATTTGCATGGGATTTCAATCATATAAAACAAGATATGCAATTCTAATTAGATTTTGGGTATCTATCTATATATCTATCTGCGGCCAACGTTTTGCAAACGGGTGTATGTATATATATATATATATATATAATATATAATATATATAATATATATATATATATCGTTATTGTAGCGTTTCAAGATCTAGAGGCCTAATTTCATCTTAAATTAGATTCGAAATCAATTGCGTATGGCTGAAATAAAAATTAGTAGAAACGAAAGCCATTTCAACCTGGACACCAGAACTACACACAAATACACGTCACGTCACAAGTTTTATTAGTATTCTATTGTTGGTCTTTGCAGGCGATAAAAGCATGGCTAGGAAGTACTATCACAAGGCTCTCAACACGACTCAGCCACCTTCATCTCATTGGTGCGATACCGAAGACTTTCGATTCAGTCCAGACTACCTTCTTGGCATGATGGCAGTCAAAGAGAACGAGTATCAAACTGCACAGAAATTCTTTCAACAGGTTATAGACCGATGTGAAAAGTTTCGCAAGAGCGTTCAGGACACTCCATTAAAGATTTGTTTTAACGATACACAGAAGAAACCTTTTCAGTATTTGCAGCACGTGCTTTTAAGAGAAAAAGCCGATGCAGATGCACTGTTAGTCGGTGAGATGGGCAGAGGAAGAGATTTTTATGATAAGGTAACATGTGTTGAATTAGGCAAGGCAAATACAGATTGAGCGCCGGTTGTTTTCGACATGCAAGACTTGTCATAACCAAATATGTTTTAAAAAGCAATAAATATTACTTTTTCTTCCCGTTTTTCAAGTCACAAAATTTGGAATAAACAAAGGAAAAACCTTTTAGTAGGCTAATGTTGTAGTTGTCACAATTAACTATTAGTATACTGTTCGAGTTGTTATCACTAGAACTGTTTTTATAGTTCACCAATCTTGGATTCGTATATCTTAAAAGGTAATAAAAGAAGATCAATCCAAGCAGCTAAAAACGCCGAATGCTCTCTTAGAGTTAGCGAAAACAAACAAGCAAGCGATACTCTTTTTATCCAAACTGGACGTTGTCCAAGAAATGAGAATTTGGTTTATTTCACCAAATGGTGAAATCTCTTCCTTCGATCAAAAACTTCATCGTTGGGAAAAGCCTCTTGAGGATCTACGAATTGTGTTTAATCCACATATAAATTATAAAGAAAAGTCACTCCAGCAGACTATCAATGCACCGGGATGCACAATGGACCCAGGTAGCGATGACACTGAAGTGTTGCACCCCTCAGAAAGTTGCCATGCTCATACATTCCACCCAAACTGGCCATACCAGATTGAAATTAGAGGTACGTATGAATGAATGGGGAAACATTTGAAATAAAGTTTTATAAACAACTGAATTTATAAAGACGAAATTTTTTACCCTCTTTTGACGAGTTTTGCCCTCCACTAGCTTTCGCGCACAATATTCGGCAAGGGGAAAGACAGCAATTAGTGAATATTAACATGCTCTTTGGTTTTCAATCGACATTTCTCCAATTTTATATTAATATTGGATTTTAATACATAAAACACATTTCGCCCATCTGCATATGAAGAGCAAAGCAAGTCAATCACTTTCCATCACCACACTAAAATTACATTCACGACCCAACGTTTCGACTCCTCAGGCTTAGAAATTTTTACGTGTATTGATCTTAATTGCATCTAAATTTAGATTAATCTCAATTAAACAGAATGCATGGTGCGCATATTGGGCGCGCAGGTTGACGTCTCTAAACCTATAACATAAAGTAGCTGCAATATTTTACCTGGAAACAAGTAATTCTGCGTCCCCTACGACAAAAACAAGTAAAATAATCAAAAACAATCTCTTGCGTCCTTCTCTACAAAATGTGAAAGGAAAATGTATCATGCAGGGAATAATACTCATGTTAACCCAGTTTGCGTTTATAGGCGTAGAAAACGATGTATTAAGTGGTCATGATTTCGAATACGAATCTGAAGATGATGATTATGATGACATCGAAGTTGGAGAGGAAAATGAGACAAGCTGTGATCAATCTGGAGTTTCGTCTGAGAGTCAGGACAGTCAGAACACATTAAACCAAAACCACCTACCCACCCGTGGACCATCGAAGATACCCGACTTCTCCAAAGTTATTGACGAATTCAGCAAGCTAATTGTAGAACCAATTGAAGGTCGTTTAGAAAACCTGTCTACCAAGAATGGCCTTAAACCTCAACTGCTGATCATTCCACAAGGAGAAACGTTTAACATACCATATTCAACGCTGCGTCTTAGTAATGGCGAGCCGTTATGTACATTGGTGGCACCTCGGGAAGCGTTCTCTTTCCACTCTTATTCCTACAGCACGGCACTCCAAGAAGGGGTGTCGCAGGTTAGGAAGTCAATCATATTAAATGTTTTGCTAAATTGGTAATAAGTGATATTCGATCTGTTAAATTGACACAAAATGCTATCGCGGAGCTTCTTGTCTCAAACTTGTTGTCTTGAATTATTTCAAACAATATTAAAGTCAAAAAGCGTAGTAATTACACAACGACAAAGGTACCTACAAAGGAATTTTTTGTTTGCCGTGAACATTGAAACGATTTAGTCATATAATTTCATAACTAATAAACTTGCAACCACTTTAACCTGGTTTCCATTGAGCCATAATTGTTTTGGACAGTCAAAGAAATAGTCTGGATGTAGAATTGTCTTTATTTCTGTATGCAAATCAGTCATTGTTGATTTCGCACATCAAGCTCTAGTTGCCTTGGGACCGGTGGTTCGAAAGGCGTTTAGCTTAAACGGTGGATAAGCCAAAGTTTAAAAATACTCTCATAGATATTGTGAATGACTGAACCTGCATCTTATGCATTTAATATGTACTTCCATTGACAATTAAACCATTTACATCGAAATATTTCAGCTCAGTTGTTCAATAAATAGATAATTTTGTTTTCCATTTTTAACTTATCCACCGTTTAAGCTAAACGCCTTTCGAACAACCGCCCCCTCGTGTTTAGTATCACTCGTGACAAGTAATTCAGCCTTGTTTAAATGATTTGTGCTCTATGTAGGTGACTGAGATGAAGGACATCCTCATCGTTGGCAATCCAACAAAAGACCTTCCATTTGCTGAAAAAGAAGCCGAGATGATTGCAAAAAAGGCGGGAGTGTTACCGTTGTTGAGAGAATCCGCCACCCGCAGTGAAGTTCTGCGCCGTATTTCGAAAGCACCCATAATTCATTTCGCGTGCCATGGCGCGACAGATGGGAAAAGCTTACAACTTGCTCCAGAATGTGTTAATAACAAGTAAGTTATTCTAATATTGCTTACTCTGCTTACTTTTGCAATTTGAGATGTTTACGACCAATACAAAAATAGTTGAAATTCTTTACAGTATACAGATGGATTTAAACTCATCGTAACACAGACACCACTAAATCTATAGAGTACCTTTGAAGCACAAACAAAGAAGTTGTTAAAACCATTAATTCTATGTTTTCGAACTATTTAGCAGCGAAATGGCAAGAGTGAGCTACCTTACTGTGGAAGATCTCTCGAACGTGACCTTATCGGCTAACATGGTTGTCCTTAGTGCCTGCCACACTGCCCAGGGCAAAATCAGTAGCGAAGGCGTGTTGGGACTTGCGCGTGCTTTTCTGATGGCAGGAGCAAAGTCAGTGATTACCTCACTGTGGGCAGTTGACGACAATGCCGCAGAGACATTGATGTTGAAGTTTTACAACAATCTTTACAACGAGCCTGTCGTCAACGCCTTGGCAACCACCATGTGTGAGATGAAGGAAGAAAAATTTGAAATGGCTCAATGGGGCGGTTTCAAAGTTCTTGGGGCAAACATCAGAGTATTTGCTAATGATTAAGCTTGAACGTACGTGCAATTGCTAATGCACCATGGCCAACAATCGTTTCTTCTTTCTTGTTCGCGGGATAATTTAACAAACCGACTTAAACCCTCCGCCGTTTAATGTATTTTGAGTTATTTGTCGAAAATTCACTGTCAGCTGACAAGTGCAACAGCAGCTAATAAATTAAGGTACCTAGCGTCCTTACATTTGCTTTAGGCCAATCAAAAGCTGTGATTACTTTTACATAAATAATAATCATAATAATATACGACTTATGAACCACTGGACTGTTCTGAATGCGATTGTATTTACGGTTCGTGCATGATAATGGAATTTTTTAAAATATCATGCAACCAAACCTCCCCCCCCCCCGCCTTCCTCCACCACCTTTTCACCCCCATCACATGAAGTTATCACTGACGAAGTGGAAATATGTTTGGTTTATGCCACTGATCAAGTTGGAATATTACTGGAGTATATAGTCCCTCCCTGTCATAACCTGAGAAATCACCACCATTGCTCCTGTTTAATATTCGAATTGCTAACACCTGCGTTCTTTAAGGCGCTGGTGATGAACTGTATCATAGACGGAGGTCCACACACAAAGACGGTCATAGCGGATGTATTAAAGTTTCTTAACGTCTCTTCCAATACTTGTGCACTAATCCGTTCAAGTTTAACTACATATAAAAATATCACAGTTGGGGGAAAATGTATACCTGTAGTAACTTGTCGCTCGAGCTAATTAATTTACAACCTCGTGCGAGGTTGATTAATTTAGCGATTACTTTCATGAGACAGACATTTCCTTAAGTTCATGCAGAGAACAAATTCTTTGTTAAGGGACAAGGAACATTGAAACATTTCAATGGAATGTTTTATATTGAATAGGAGTATTTTACTTTTTGAGAGAGTTCATACATGATGGTAGATTACGTAGTTTTAAACTTTCATATATTTTACTCGCGTCATCGTATTTAGTTTATCGGTGATCCTAAAAAGTCTGCATGAGACATGGTGGCGTAAAAATAAAAAATCTACGGAATTTTGGCATATTATATTGTTCAAAACAGAGTTATTGCGCGGATTTCTACCACTTGGCATTGGGCACAGCGTGTAACATATCGTGCATATTTTTCACATCGACTTCATCTTATGGCAAAACATGCTCTAGCCAAAGACATCATGCTTATTCTTCGATACTTGCCCTGTTTAATGTGATATATAGAGAGTGCCTTCAGCTATGTTCGGATCAGCTATGCCGGGCATCTAGGTGCAAACTTTTGCTCTGCATGCATGGGCAAGGGTCAGAGAATTGCATAAAATTGTACACAAAGCAATCAAATTTAGGACCCTTGCTTTGGAAGTTAAATGATCATTTCATGTAAGTATCAAATAAGAGCGATGACTCCTTACCTTTACGGCCCCATACGATGTTCGTTGCGGGTTTATCTCGTGTAACAAACATCTGGCATTTGAAATTTCCTGTTGCTTCAGCTATGGCATCGAGTTCATCCTAAGTGTGGCAAAAAAAGACTATCAACATGGTCGTGTGTACAAAATACAATATACAAAACGTCCCCCAACAAACTATACGTAGGTAGGGCTCCATTTTAATGATATCGGGCTGAGTTTTTACATAAGATTCGTTTCTCGAAATGAACAATATTCGTGGATTTTAGTAATTTTACAGATAGTACACTTTGATATGATTTACACTGAAAAGCAAAGTCTCGCCTTGAATATCAGCTCATGCAGGTCGGAAGCCGAATAGAGAAGTTCAAACTTAACATCTTCATCAAGATTGCTGCTTTTTAAGGATTGATAGATTTGTTGTATGATAGAATACAGTGGATTAATTCCAACTCCACCGGCAATGAAGAGCAATTGTTTAGAATTTTCCGTCATTGGATCGTAGAAAAAGTCGCCACCAACTGTCAACGATACTTCGTCTCCAACGCGACACTATAAAACCAACAACGAAAATGAAGATTATAGCTACTATATATAATAACTACTATATAATAGCTACTATAAATAATGTCTCATTAATATCTTAAAAATAGACTATTCTGGTGACGGTTGTAGGAAAGCTGGAGAGCGCCGTCCACCAAATTATGATTTTTTCATTTTTTCATTTTTGCATAAGCTGGATTTAACCTTGGCATTTACAAAAAGATTATTCTCTTTAATAAGCGTTGGCTTCAAATCTGTAGTTTAACTACTTTTTAAGCATTTTAAAACCGGTAAAAAATCACTATTCGGTGGACAGCGCTATATGCAGCTTTCGTAGCTACAACCGGCCCCAGTCCTTCAGGTAACCAATCCAAAAACACTAGGATATTTCTAGTATACGCAGTATATACAGTACCTACCTGTGAATGCACCCAATGTGCAGGTGGATGATCGCTTCTTTTCACGGCTAAATCAATTATACGGTGTTTCTCTAGTTTTGCTGGACTTGACGTCATGGAGAATCCTCCAACAGTTTCAACACCAGGAATCATAAAATCGACCCTTCAAAACAAGAACATATGATATTAATAATATAGCTATAGTGCCATCGAAAGAAAATTATGAACATATTATGTATGCGGTGATATTATACATTTGCAGTTCACACCGTTTGATATTATAAATGAATCGTTTTTATATCCCTGGAAAATCTGGAGCCGACTTTAAAAAAGTAGTTCATTATTGGCCAATCAGAGTCGAGTATTATTAAAACGTTATTAATAATTCGCTTTCTCATTGGACATGGATTATTCTTTTGAATTTATTTGGTTTGGAGGTTTTAGAGGTTAAAGTTGTAACCATGCGGTTGAAAGTCCTAAGGAGTTTAAATAGAAGCTTGTGAAAAACTATTTCTGCATGTTGTGTACATTCAGCATCATTGTCGGCCATTTTGTATCAGGTACCTATTATTAGAAATACATGCATGCAGCAACCCCTCGCCAATTCCAAAAACCAATTTCCAAAGCTAGCGAAATCTAAGCTTATATTATGACATGACACAAATGAGTCGTTAACTGATTTACTATTATTATAGGCAGCCCAGAAATATTTTCGTTCTCGTGGCGTCCACGCGCGTGTACGCGAGTCTACTGGACTCGGTCTATTATTGTGACTATTAGCCTCTATATGCTATTATTCGGAAACAAACGTATTATGTATAATCAAATACAGTCATAAAAATGAAGTTAACATCACCCATTTTTCTGCTGCTTTAAAGCTGGAAAATTATTAGTCCATGCCCCAGTTACAGCTAAGTAATGGGTAAAAATTCAACCTTGAAAACGTCAAAATAGTACAAAATCTTCAGGGACTAAACGCTAAATGTTATTCTTTGAATATGCTGCAAATATTTGCATTCGACTTTAAAAGCTTTGCCTTGACATTTTTTTTATCATACTCCAATTTCAACAAGCTATTCCACAATGGTAAATGGTTTTATTTAAAGTAGAAAGGCACCTTTTGATCAACACATGTATGTCATTTATTCAAATGCTAACATACCTAAAACCTGTTACATATAATGGGTGACTTGCATGTCTGACAATGTTCTGGGAATGTAGTTATTATATAGTATACTATACCTACCATGTAGGTATTGTATAGGTATTATGCAGGTATCATATCATGCAGGTATTATTATATAGTATGTATCCTATAGGGTATTTTTTATCATACTCCAATTTCAACTTTAAAAGCCCTTCTAAAGGTAAAGCAATGGTGTGATAGCATTTCGTAGTCGGTTTTATCTTTGCAAAACAACATATCAAGCTCAATATATAGTCTACAAATAAACTGCATATTTTTCAATACAGCAAATACGGAATAGACAAAATAGACACCTGCCTGTTTAACCGACTTGGTAGCTTATATAGATTATATATTATTCTACGTATTCTGGCAAAAACAGGAAAAAATATAGCTGAGGAGTGCAGGCCGGGCTTTCTGTATGGAAACCCGTGCAATAATTTAGCACTGGTTGAGCTATTTTTGAGTTTAGAAAACATGTAATACATGCTTTAGATACAATATATCTCCAGGAGATAAGATGAAAGGAATTACCAAATATCTGGGAAAAATAGAAATGTGAATACGAAATGATTAAAAAGGATTTTGTGCACTTGAAATGAACAACAACAGCATGCATGTAAATACGGCGATGCGAAATTCAGCGTATTTAGCGATTTTAGGCGTTTGGCTAAAAAAAAACAACTCCAGCACCCTTGTCTTGGACTATTTTCCGCACAAAGTTCGCGAACTTTTTTCAATCGCGAAAATCGCGAAATTAAAGTTGTGCAAAATTAAGTACGAATAGGGGGTATAAGGTGGTCTATTATTTGTTTTTAAAACCGTTGTGAGGATTACTTTTGACGCGTTCGTCAGCTAACTTGGGACCTCTTCACCCGTACTTATACGTACGGCCATTTTTTTTCCTAACATCTTAAACAAGTTAACTGGGCAGAAACTATATAATATCATCTTAACCATACCACTGTCCAGCTTTGAACTTGAACTCAACATTCGGGACATGAATGCTAATCTCCTTCACGGTCTTCGAAAGTTGTGCAATCTGCACTATCCTTCCAACAGCAGTAACCTGGAAACCAGGGAAACATTTTTTAAAATTTAAATGGACAAAAAAGCAAACAGAAATTCAGGCTAAAAGAGAGTTCAGGCTGCAAAATGGTTACTTCCCGAAATTCTTCACGGGGGAAAATTAACAATCAATTGAACAGAGATCAAGACGTCATGAGGCGATCTATATATATCATATATATAGAGATTACTTCATGGTTGGCGAGTGCGTACGATTTTTATGCACGAGTTGTGAAGAATCGCGAAACGAACGAGTGAGCGTAGCGAACGAGAGAGTTTGCGATCCTTTACAACGAGTTCATAATAACAAGTACGATCGTACTATAGGGACCAGGAACTGCGTAACCGAGTTTAATTTCTGAACTGCATTGTATTTATAACAATGGAGAGGACAATGTATTTCTAATCGTTTCCGTTTACTTATATATAGGCTGAATATTAATGATATGTATATATTATTTGCTGCAAATATATCAAGAATTGCTTGTAACTTGCTTCAAAGGTCAAAAGTAAAAATTCGAACTCCGTCAATCGATGCGGAATTATGCTTAGAATAATTGTGCCAAGTTTCATTCCGATCAAACAAGTAATGAAAGAGCCTTAGGGTTTTTTTAAAGAGCGTCGCCCCCTAACAACAACAACAACAACAAGATTAGCAGCGGTTAGGGACCAGTTCCTGGTCCAAAAATCGTACAAACGAGCCAACCAGGAAGTAATTTGTTTATTAAATGTGTATAGAGATCAATTTGACAACGACACGCTTTTAATAATTTGTTATTTACCAGATTGGAGGTCCGTATAGGGAAATATTTCCCAAGGCCGAGGGACGTTTTTGAGACCGAGGGAAATATTTCCCTATACGGACCTACTAAAGTGGTAAATAATAGGTTTTTTCTTGCGCTCCGAATTCATATCGTAGCGTTGGCTCTGTGCTTTTAAATCTCGCGCGGTCCGTACGGCCTGCTAATACGGACCGCTCGCGTAGCCAATCAGATTGCAGGAAACGCTAAAATGTGATACAATGACACATATAATAGGATTTTATATACATATTATACATACATGATTTTCTTCATTTCTTATTATTTTGGGATAGGATTTGCCATATGTATAATATATGTACAAAATCCTATGTTATGTGCTTACTTGCTATACATTTCAACTCTAGTTCAAAGCAAACACAAAAACACAAAAGAAAACAAATTTTTTTGGCTTGTCTTTCTGAACATGAGGATACGATTTCTCAGACATAGACATATAGCAACATATAATATAAATAGTGTAACATATTATATAATTTTATCTTACAGGTTCTCTTTGTTTTGATATTGTTTTCTCCATATGGGTACTTGTGACATTCTTTGACATGTGTCTGTTAAAATTGTTTTAAAAATGAAGCTAGAACAAGGGTGGAATGTGTGGCCGACAATAGAAAAATCAAATCCTATGGTGTTGATACAGGATGTATGGAAGAGATTGACTGTTAGCAAGTCTCTGTGCCTGGTGTGTGATTTGAATTTGGATGTTTTTCCTTCATGTATATGTGTCTATGACACTGCTTTCATCATATTAAGGCTCTCATGTGCAAAAATATCATGTTGTGGATCAAGCTATTCCACAATGGTAAATGGTTTTATTTAAAGTAACAAGGCACCTTTTGATCAACACCAACATGTATGTCTGACTATGCCATTTATTCAAATGCTAACGTACCTAAAACCTGTTACTAACAATGGGTTACTTGCATGTCTGACAATGTTCTGGGAATGTAGTTATTATATAGTATATGTAATATTCTATATCTTTATTGCTTATTATAAGCTTAAACTCTCTAGCTCCTTCTTTTTTCCTCTCCGTCCTTGGCAATTGCCCCCTATATCCTGCCATGTAAGTATTGTATAGGTCTTATGCAGGTATTATATATCATGCAGGTATTATTATATAGTATGTATCCTATAGGGTATATATCCTAGAGGATATATTATACTATATAATACCTACATTGCCCGAACATTGTCAGACATGATATGTGCCAATTTCATTTCAGTGTGCATTTTTACTGTACTTCAAATTTAAAACCATTTGCCATTGAGCTGCTATGGTCTGAATAAAGCATAGCTAATTTTAGGAGCGGAAAATTGGAAATTGGTAATTTAAAGATGGAGGATTTGTAGGTCTTTTGCAGTGCCTCGCACGAAAAATGTTCTGTATTTTTGAGTCCCTGTCATTGATTTCCAGCATTTTGGGGGACAATTACTGACGAATCCATCACAGCAAAGTGAGGTATTTTGAGAAAATACCATTTATCACTGCACATTTCTCATTTTATCACTGCACATTTTACGTTTATCACTGCACACTAAAATTAGGTAGGATTAAAATTTATGCTAATTTAAATTCGGAATGACTATTGACTATCACGGCACTTAGAAAAAATGCAAGGACGGCTTGTTATTACAAAATAAAATACCTACCTATAAACCCTGGAAATATTTCTAAAATGCACGTAATTTTGCATACAAATTTAGATAGAAATCAGCCGTGAACTTCGTTGATTACTGTAATGCTTCTTGATTCTTCGATTCGAAATTCTTTTGTGAATTTCAATACTTCATGTTATTCTTGTATGCATAGTTTTGGTTCTTATTATCTTTTATATTCTGAACTTTCCACTGCAAACATTTTGCCTTGAAATCGATCGTGTATATTTCTATTGACTTGTGTTTTAATAACTAATAGTGAGATCGGTAACTCGGTTAGGAGAATTAATCAAGAAGGCGGCACACAACTATTATTGTCAATGTCGATTGTGATCACCGTTCCCAAACCTGGCAAACCAGAGCCAGGGAAAATATATAATTGGGAATGGTTATCATTCTACTTCATTTTCCCAAGGTTAGAAAAGAGTTGGTTTTAAACACCACCTCATTTCATGAAACGCGATTGTACATATAGACAATGGAAAATTATTGGCTTTGTAAGAACACTTAAGGGCAAAAGAAATGGCTCTCAACTAAAAGTCTACTAGTTCTAAACTGTAAAGGCAACGCTTAGTATTCGAAATTCACAGTTTAGTTAATAAAATATATTACTCAGCTACTCATAAAATATATTACTCGGATACTCAGCTACTTTTAACAATGATTACCTTTTCAAAACGCGTACGTTAAAGTGGAAGACAAGACGTTCACTGCGTTCTGCGCTGCGCATCGGTTCTACTGGCTCAAACAATGCGAGGGCTTTTTGATGTAAAAATCGTTCAACTTTCGAATTAATTCTTTCGAATTTTTCTGTATCTAAATTCTAGCTCATATTCATGACATTTAGAAGCTTAGCTAACCTAAATTGTGTTAGATATCAAATATATCAAATATTGTGTTAAATTGTATTTTTTTATTTATAGAAATTCCACTGAGCTATATTAAATTCCGGAATTATTATATAGCTCAGTGAGAAATTCTCAAAGCCGGTTTTCCACTAGGCGGAATTTTTTGATCGAACGAAATTTTTCGCTCGATTTTCTTTTCAATTGTGAGAATTCGACAGTAGTGAATTCCGATCACCGGTCACAATAGACCTTAAGCATAATGATGCAACAACCCCCGAAACCTGCAGGGAATTTTGGTCTTAGAAGTCACGGCGGGAAATTTTGAAGTTTGAATTTTTCGCCGTGACCACGAAAACCAGAATTCCCTGCAGGCGTCACGGCTTAATATGTTATTATGCATAACTGGTCTATTCAGTAAAAAGAAAATCGAGCGAAAAATTTCGTTCGATAAACTTCGCCTAGGGGGAAACGGCTTAAATGTAACAAACTGTTTGTTTACATAAGGACTTGACAGGGCCGTAACTGGAACGATAATTGGGGGGTGTTTATTCATATATTCAGTTTTGCCCGACGGATCTCTATTGTAAGTTATTGCACTTACAAACGAAACCCGTCGGGCAGAACTGAATATATGAAAAAACATCCCCCCAATTATCGTCGACCCTGGCACTTGAATTACACTTTGAACAGTTACACTTTGAACAGTTGAACTCTAAGCGCAGAGATGATAGTTTACTGCCTAGTTTACTGAGACTAGTTGTAGCTCGAAATTTGACTTTGCGCCGAATGCAATGTAGAAAAATCAGAGAAAAGAGTTTCTCCAAATGCAATCCTTTAGAAGAGCTCAATGACAATAGATGAGTTCATCATTCTTCAGTGATTCTTGGGCAATCTAACCACAAATTATCCAACGGAAGGTTTACAAAGAAAAATCTTGTTGAGTAAGCTATAAAGTAGTATATTATTTGTAGATCTACAAGGCTAATAATTCTAAAAGAACTAATGAAAATGTAATTTTTAACCATATTAATACATGCTAATACATATTAATAGTCTGAACAACGCACAGTAAAAATGAACAAACAAATAATGTGGCAACCCTGGCAAGGTTACTGAATACCGTAATTAGGTTAATTTATTGCGGGCCTATTTATTAATTTGAAACAACAAACACATGCAACAAGACAAACGATTAACAAATAAACAGTGTCTATAGAGTCTACGTCAAACATGCAGATCATCAACATCCAAGTGGATGATATGGTCGTCCATATGTAACTTTGTACACTATATATAGTATCAAACCTAAACCAGCTATATTGGATATATAGAGAGAGTTAAAAAGACCTTTAGAAATTGGATGATTTAATCAACTTTTCATCAACAATTGTTCCTGCAGAATCGTAGAGATTTATTGGACATTATGCAAAAGTATTGAGGCCACCTTCTCAGAGTAGACGAGTTGAGCGCTGGGATATGGCTGGATACATTGTCCATATATCAAGTTCGTAGTGTTGATTCGATCTCAAGTTTTCCATGCAGATTTAGTTTTGTAAAAGCTAGGCAACCTTTGTTCAGGTTGATCAAACGTGAATAGCGATACAGGATAGCACTGAAGATGTTTGCTGGAATTTGTGGCCGTCTCGCTAACGGTTCGACTTTTAATTTGGTCAACGCTGAAGGCATAGGGTTCTACAGGGTTAAGTTTTTTTTTCATCTGTTTAAGAATAGTCAGAACCGCTTTAGATTTGCTTTGAAGGAGACATTTCGAGGAAAAACTTGTTAACCCATGATAGCAAATTCTAAAACTTTCTTTCAGGTGCATGTGGAATTGGACTGGCAATCAATTTTAATCGACGCATTTTTCTGAACCATGCGAAGTAATTTCTTCAATGATACTGCCTATAGATCCAACTTCTCAGTTCAATTCAGTTCAGAAATATGGATTCATTCTTTCGGTTGCGCGCCAACAATCAAGAGAAAATAGTGCACTCCCAGGCAACGCTACCATTCCAATATTCATGTCGCCATTCTCAGTTTACTGTTGCATCTCGACTGTTCTCTATTAAAGAAACTTTTAAAGTCTGTATAGTAATAAACACACGAATTTCCTGTATTTTCCGACGAAGAGAAGTCGAAAAAGATCAGGCGGTTTAGCAAGACAGTCTTAGACAGATGTTTTCTTGTAATAGCGGCAAGGAGTCGAATATCGTCGTTGCCAAGTGTTGGAATACTGTTACGTTAGCTGATGAATACAGTTGTGTTTCAACTCTCCGATTCCCAATAAGTGTTAGAGATGGAAATTCCACGCATTCTGCATGGACATGTTCTAATTTTGTCCATTCTATAAAAAGTGCGTCTTTCACTTTTTACAGTTCCATTTAATTATAACGTTTTTATTTGGCATAATCTCACTTTATGATTCATCAAATTTAGTAAGAAATATAATTTAGGAAAGCAGGGAAATAATTATACAACAACTTAGAAGTTTTCAGCTTTTACGGGCGTGTACAAAAAACATGACAGTGGAAAACAGCCCTAAGGAGCGTAACTATAGAACGATATTTTTGTTGGGAGGGGGTGTTTATATATTCGTATATTCAGTTTTGCCCGACGGAATTTTACTGTAAGCTATTGTATTTACAAAATAAATCCGTTGGGCAGAACTGAATATATAAACAATCGACACCCTCCCCTCCCCCATACAATTATCGTTTTATAGTTGTGCCACTGCTGTTCTTGGAGATTACCTGGTTTTCACCACCCGCAGATAGACGCCGATGCTCGGCGATGCTGACTTGGTGGCAGTCGGCGAGTATCGCAGAAAGGCGGTTTTCATCAACGCAATCTGTCCGCTGTTCTTCGTGTATTTTGGACAAAAAGGCGGGGCAAATTAGAACACTGGGTTCGAAATTAGGATGTTTAGCATTTTACGATTGTCGGTAAAGTCCGTAGATGCGATTCAGTCGCAGCCAATCTGCGACAAACGCCGATCGTCGCAACAAAACAATTTTTTTTGTTTTGGCATCTGTCGTAATTTTGATATCGACTATCTGCGAGTGATGAAAACCAGGCCTAATAAGTGTATCGCCAGTGTGTTCTGTAAAATTTTATATGTAGAGATTACTTCATGGTTGGTGAGAGCGTACGATTTTTATGCACGAGTTGTGAAGGATCGCAAAACGAACGAGTGAGCGTGGGGAATGAATGAGTTTGCGATCCTTCACAACGAGTGCATAGTGAAAATCGTACAAACGAGCCAACCATGAAGTAATTTGTTATTAAATGTGTATAGAGATCAATTTCACAGTGACACGCTTTTAATATACAAAAACACAGCGAGCAACAAAAATCGAAAGTTTATGCATCAAAATATATTTATTATACCGTTCAGTTTCTTCGCAATTGTGTTCAATGGAAGTTAAATATTCCTTCCGAAAGATTTTATAATGTGCTGAATGTGAAAATGTCTTCAATTTGAGCATTATGTTTTGAATCTCATTCTATATTTCGATCCCACCTTTAAAAAAATGTAAACAAAATTGCCGCCAAAATGACATACGACTATTTTTCACGTATATATCATACGTACGTCCAATCAAAAGCCGCGTATGGCATTTTTTACACGTGAAAAATATCATACGCGTGCAATCAAATTGCATACGGTTCGTGTGAGTGTTTTTTTTCTCGCTTTCCAAAAGTCTCGCAACATCCGTCGTGCATGGAACACGCAATCCTGCACGGAAAACCATTTGGTAATTCTTCAGTATGCAATTGTGTTTTAGCAGTGCAGGTTGTTTTAAAGGACACCACTTTGCAAGGGCCGACTGTTTTCCTTTTTTTAAAACATGCAAATTAAAATACCCGGCTGATCTGAGAAAAAAATGAACCAACCGCAGTCAGATTGAAAAAACTTAATATGAAATTTTTTAGGTACAAGGTTACACCACGATAAAGAAATTTTAAAAAACAACTAAAGGTTGTAAATTTTGATCTTAGCTACTCATACATATAGCAGAAGAAATATTCATGACCTCCCAGGATAATCTCTACGATGCCATTCATTAAAGCAATCAAACTCACCAGCTACATGCATATACCTATTGCACTGTGGGGCACTGCAGTATGTCTTAACTCTTTTCTGTCCCCGACCAGCTTGATAGCACACGACACAAGTGCGTCTCACGTCTCTAATTGAACGAATTAAATGGACAGTACAGAACAGATCATCAGGAGGAACAGGCCGAACTTTCTCGTTTACAGGAGGTACGTCATATTCGGCTAATCCACAAATCTGTCTGATCAATTCTTCTCTAAAATCAACTACACTATATCCGCTACTACGATCAAGAGCCTTCTTACCTGGATTGCTTTTACGATGTTCTTGAAAAAGAAGATAGCCGTTAACTACTGCCATATCGATAAGGTGGAAAAACAGAGTCTTCCACCACTTATAACACTTCCGAGAGACATTGTTATACGCAAGCATTTGATCTGATCTGTCTACTCCATTCATATACTGATTATATCTATGAAATGCATAGGGCTTGTTTACACTAATCTCTGAAAATACTCCTTTCTTTTTCGTTCTTCTCGTCGCAACCACCTTCTCATTGGCTGAATCAATCGATGTCACTAACGAAACAGTTTTGTTATCCACCCATTGTAACGTTAAGACATTCGATTCCCTCTCCCATCTCATGCTGCCTCGCATTCTCTTCCTCGCCCACTCCTTCGCGTTCTTCATTGATATCGGAAAACCCTCCCTGTCTACTCTACATGTACCTGAAGACGGCGTGCCAAGTGAAAATAGATCCTGCACCAACTTAGGAGATGAAAAAAAGTTGTCAAAGTAGACATGATAACCCTGACCTAAATATGGTTGTACCAATTTCATCACCACGTCATAGCCAAGGCCATGACTCGATGGTGTTTCATGTTTTGACTTACCTATGTAAACATTGAAGTCGACGGTGTAGCCATTAGAGCTGTCCGCCAACACCCACAGCTTGATACCCCACTTTGTTGGCTTGTTCTTCATGCATTGTTTGATACCTGATATATGTTTGGACTTCACCATACGTTCATCCACAGCAATGTTCTGGTAAGGTTGGTATAACACCTTGCATCGCTGTTTGAATGATGCAAGGAATTCGTCAACCTTACGCAGTTTATCACCGGGAGTCTCGTTGGTGGGGTCCACGACATGTAGGAACGCCATAAGTGCCTTGTATCGCATACGAGAAAGCATCTTCCTTGCCCAAAGACCGTGGTAAAGAGTCTTTGTGCTCCAATACTTTTCTACTCCGGAGTCTACCCGAACTATACCAAAGTAGATTAAAAGAGCAATCAAGTTATTAATCTCGGTTTCCTTAGTGGCCTCCCAACTCCCGTGATTTGTGGTATAGGTATTATGGCCACCAGCCAGGATCTTTATGTAAGCATAGCTGTTGGTGTGCTTGACAATTGAATTTATCATCTCGGAAGTAAAGAAGAGATGAAAAAAATCTAACGCGGTTGTCATACCACCCCGCAAGACAGGACCCTCAAAATTAATTCCCGCGGGACGCCTTGGTCGAAAGGAGGGGAGGGTATTCTTGACATCTGCATCATCATAGGATTTATAATTTTCAGTAATACCGCTATGTCCACCCTTGGGTATAGACCTGGTACTTCCTCTATTGGCTCTCCCACCCCTGGACCTACCAACCCTTTTCGTATTCCTAGAAGTAACCGGAGGAGTATCAGCCTGTCTACCAATCGGAGATCGGTCTCTTGCACCAACAGCTTCCACTAAATCATTATTCCGTCCTAGATCCACATCGTCTTCTTCAAAATATTCATCAACCTCACTGAGTTCACTATAAAATTACAAAAATAGCATAGAGCACGTTATAAATTGACAGTGCAAAAAACTACTGTAACTTCTCAGTTCATATCACAAGGTGCAGCTGTGCCTGATTATAGACGGGAAAAATCCCACATTTTTTTAATGAATTTGCTTCAGTCCTACCACTTATACGTAAGAAAAAGGTATCTTCTTATACGCCCTTTCACATACAACTAGGGAGATGCTAAGCATCATGGGGCGAGCCTAAGCAAGAACAATGAGAGCGAGGTAAAACATGCTATTTCATTTCGTAGAAATAGCAGAACATAATATGCATGTAAGAAAATGTCAAAACATTGAAAGATTGCAAAAAACTTGCAAATAATGCCAATAGTCCTACAGGAGAATAACAGAATTACAGGTAGAATATTAAGCCCAAATCCAATCGAAATCGGGTTTTCAACTTATGGTATTAAATGCTTTTAGCACGCGCGCTAAGAATAGCAGAGGCATAGCTACATACATGTAAACAAATGCCAACATGTCAACAGTTCCACAAATATTCAGCCCAAATAAAATTGAAATCCGGCTTCCATTAGAATTTCAATTTCGCTCAGGCTCGCCCCAATAGACCTTTCTTATAATGACGTGAAACGCGGAAAGTCTGATGTTACACGAAATTTAATTGGCTCCACAAAACTATCGAGCCAATCAAACTTTGTGTAACATCAGACCTTCCCCGTTTGACGTCATTATAAAAAAGATCGATTGAAAGTGTGGCTGACGCATCTCCTAACTTTTCATCTTCACCTTTAGCAGCTCATTGTAAATTTGACCCAGAACCATTTCGCACGTAAAATATAAGACACAAGAATCCCCCCCCCCCCGCTATATAATGACTCTTAATTTCGCTCAAATCAAAAGCCGGGATCATACTGAAAAATCTTCGCGTTCGTGGATCCTTCCTCGTGCTCGTGACTTGGGCTATAACTGATTTGAATCTTCCAAAAAATATTTTTACCTGAACTGTCTAAAACTCTAAATAATTTACGTACATTTATTATCCAGGGCACCCAGGGCTCCTTGTCTCCGGAAGTGATACGATGCTTGTGATATAAAAAAGCCTTTATCGCACATCGAATATTATATAAAAACACTCAAAAGTTTCCAACTACCATATTCAGTCCAGCAACTTAGCAATGCAACTAAATGTGAAACATAATATAAAGTAGACATAAACGTTGTTTTGACCGAATCAGATGTTTAGCGCGCATTATAGTATTCCCCGCCTGCACATCAGAAATACGAGACCCGTCATGGTTCTTCGGCTATTTGGAAGGTCATTAATTTTCCTTGACATGTACAACGGTCCCAAACTCATCCGGCCACGTGTAAATGTGGTAAGATATTTGTAATAATACAGAATTTTTAAGGTTCTTAATGTACTAGCTTCATTATTTACTATTTCCCAAACTATATATTAGATCATGGATCGAATCTCATGACAAGTAAGATCTAAACATTGCGGTTGGCAGTTATATGCATCTGCAGTTACATGCATGTATATCCGATGTCTCTTAATGCGGCGCGACAAAATATATCCTTCAAAATTATTTTTAAAATACTTGCCTTCTTTCACTACAAGATTCTATCAAAAGGCGGTTCAAATCATCTTCCTCGTCAGTAGATAGTCCTTCCTCATCCGAATTGAGATTTTTTTCAGACATAGCAATGCTAGCATTCGAAACGTCGTCAACTGCTTGAGCCATGTCTCGTTTTTGAACGGCATAAATTGCTGCAGGGCTTTGTTGAGGACCCGGAGTCCCGGAACCTCTAATCAAGGATCGAGGGACACGAGTACGCAATATCTGAAACACGGACCCGCGATCAATAAAACCTGGAACGATTTTACCATAGGCAGCCCCGCCAGTCCGGTCAATGCATGCGGTACGTCGTATTATATACAGTTATATATAATATAACATTTATAGTACACGCGTGCTGATTGGTCGAGAAACGTGTTTCTATAACTATATAGAAACACAGAAATTTTCCCGCCGAACCTGACAAGCGAAGCTAGGGGCAAATGAGAAACCTTCTAATGACAGCGACCCATCATCCTTTTGATGGTTTGAAAGTTTCCAGAGAATATAACCTTGTAGTTGTAGAGTGTTTAATAAGACTGCAAATGCGCTAAATGGGTGACAGCTAATAGCTATGACCACATATGTAATATAACACGTAGTAGACTTTGAGACTTTGTAGAGACAGTTACGTGTAAGGTTAAGTTGAAAATTTATTGGTTCGAACGCGCGTGAGGAAATCCGCCCTCCAGGTATTTTATTTTAACATTTTCTTAACTGTATTACCGCTTGAAAGGATTTATATTTGATATAAGTGATTTGGTTTAGCCAGCTTTCAAAGATGTGTGAATTTATTTGCATTGACATCTATTGTTGTAAAAATTTGGAATGTAATAAAAATCTATAATGGATATATATAATATATAATAATGTATATAATCTTTATTAATATCTGATCTTTTAGAAATTATTACATAAATCGTATCAGTCTCCTTATGAAGGAAATCTCCTTATATAGTTAGAAAGTTAAATAATTATATCAAGGAAATCTCCTTGTGTGTTGCTGTGTCGATCGCAGTATCTACACCATGGCCACCTAATATTTCTTTGGACTTTGTAACTTTGGACTTCACCATACCTTTGTCCACAGCCATATTCTTGTAAGGTTGCATTGGTATAATATCTGGCATCGTTTGATTGATGCAAGGAGTACGTCAACTTTATACGCATACAGTTTATCACCAAGAGTTTTGCTGGTGGTGACCACTAACACCCTAAACATAGTAACCTGTACCTGTCTCTAATGCTTGCGCCAGGCACCACGCAAAAAATGTAAATACCTCTTTTCGTTTTACTTTTTGCCGAACACCGCCGAATTGATTGCAATAACTTAGAACACTATTACGTGTTTTATCGGACTAAGCGGGAAGCTTGTATGCTTAGGTTCTTTATCAATATCAGTGTAATTTAGTCTATCTTAAGATTCCTGTATTTTAGTTGACATCACTTTTATCAACATACAAGTTGGTCGATTGCGCGCGTTTGTTATGTCTCTCGTTTTTGCGTGGTAAAGTTGTTTGTACCATGGCCAACCCAAACTCCTAGCATTAATCAGTCTCGAAATCACCAAGTTCCGAATTGCGAAAGTGGGATTTACACATCCTTTTCTTATTCTTATAGAGAAGTACCCGGAGGGTTATCTCATAGTTATTGTAGTGGGAGGGTTTGGAAGACCGGGTCACGTGACTAAAAAACTTATTGTCTTTAATCACGTGGGAACCAAGGTGCATCGAACAGAGTTGTTTTCATCGTAAAAATCATATAAAGGAAGCGCGACACAAAAACATTGTATTTTGGCGTCTTTTTCGCGATGCCAGGAGCGAATTGCTCCATATTTGGTTGCGCGACAAGTCGAAAGCACGTCGGGGTAGGAATTTTTAAAATCCCTTCGGAAACAGATGAGTTATCGAAGAAAACTCGCGAAGCTTGGATAAGTGTTATCACCAAGGACCGTGTTGTAGACGAAGGTTTGCGTCGACAAATCAATAGCGGAAACCTGTATGTGTGTGAGAAGCATTTTAGGAAAGAAGAATATGAGACTTGTAAGTATATTCTTATTTTTGATTTGATAATATTATTCCTAAATTTACATATCGGTGCGGTTTTTAAGCCCTTAAGATCACGACCCTTCAGAGTCGAAAACAATAGTCCCCTGTATGCATATAATTAGTTGTTTGGCACAAGTTTGCGTCAGAAAATCCCAGTGGATAATGTACTATGTGTAAACCAAAAACTCAAGATAGGAGTTGTTAAAAAAAGACAAATTTAAGGTGATATTTCGCCTACTGTATTTCAATTGTCAAACGTTTTTAGGGGTTGTATTTCCATATGAAATTTCATAGTAAATAATTTGTCCTTACGACGATGTCTATATGCAGTTACTGTGATAGGTAGTTCATTTGTTGATTATAGTCACTCATGCTGTAAAGTTTGCAATAGATATCTTCTAAAAGTATGATTCCTCTGATCTTTAAAGATTATCAGTAATTTTTGCAATGTCTATCGTGTTTCATATTGAAACTCGTAAAAGCTATGCTAGGGTGATTATATATATTAACAGTAGGTCTTTTTCTTTTTCAGTTTCTACTCGTAAGATATTAGCTCGTGGAGCAATTCCATCCTTAAACTTGCCAGTGAAGAGTATACCACCTCCACCTCCTGCTACACCAAGGCGTGATCTAGTGCGACAGCAAATTGATGATCCTGTCCTAGTGGTTATCGAAACTTTAAACACTTTCAACAAAAGATATTACCATTGAAGATGAACAGATGGTGCAAAAAAGGGGAAGAGGACAGTATAGTTTTTGAGTTTTTCCAGCCACCTTATACCCTACCAAAGCTTCCTTGTCAGTTGTTTCTGAACTCACCTTTTCTGTTGCTGTGTACAACTGGTTTTTACCAGATGACCATTATATTTATGTTAGTCACAAAAGATCTTTAAAGCATACATCCATCTCTACCCTAATGGCCACTTTGGAAAGTGCTCAAGTTTGTCAAGGTCTAAGTAAAGAGAAACACATTGTCTCTTTATGTGAAGATCCCAGTCCGACTTGTGGTGCCAGCAGTGTCATGAGACATACAATCCCAATTGAGCGAAAGTGCTATGAAGAAGATGGTCCACCATTTCAGGCTCATGTGTTTATCAGGTCAGAGCATTGTGAGTTGCTTTGCAGCAACGTCTCCTGTTCTGATTGTATCAAAAAGGAAAAATCCCTTACAAAAATGAAAAGAGTGCTGTCAAGAAAGGAACAGAGCCTCTGAAAAGTAATGCACCCCTGTCTGGCTCAAGTAAGGAGAGGTTAATTGCCACTGTTCAACAGCAAAGGCTGGTTTGTAAAGAACTTGAGGGTCGAATTGCTGAACTGGAGAAAGAAATTGAGAGCAACAGCATCCCTATCGACGAAACAATGGAAAAAGATATCTTGGCAATTCTTGCTGACAGAAGTGATGATGTAACCCCCCACATGAAAGTTTTCTGGGAGCAGCAAAGGAAACTACTAGCTATGCCAAAATTTGGAAGAAAGGTAGTGAAGCATGTTTTTGCATGACATAGTTTATCTATTCATACTTTTCACACACTGCTGGGAGGTATACTGCACCATGATTGTAGGCCTTAATATTGTTGTTTGAAATAGGAAAAGACATACAACAGAAGGAAAGTTATTGTAGACAGGGTGCTGAAGGCCATTTAAAAAAGATTGAATGAAAAGATATGAAAAAGTAGACTGTATATGGCACCCAATCTTTAATTCAATAACTAGAACTAGAAGTGGCTTTGTATAGTCAACCTGTACAATACTCTTAACAGTTCACCCTAGATTTATTATCCTGGATTGTGTGAGAAAACATTTTTGTGCCTTTGGCCCTTAGACTGGGAAAATATTACTTATTTTATTTTACATTAGGCAATTAGAGTCTCCTGATGGATTATTATATACAGTCATTAATATGTTTTATTATTGCCAGGTACCATCCTCATATCATCCGTTTCTGCCTGTCTCTTCATGCCAAGTCTCCAGCAGCATACAAAGAATTGCGAGAGTCTGGTGTTTTGGTACTACCAAGTGAGAGAACTCTCAGGGATTACCGAAATTTCTTCAAGCCAAGGGCTGGTTTTCATCCTGATAATATTGAAAGATTAAAGAATCAAACAAGCCAGTATTTTGACATACAGAGGTATGTTGTCCTTTCATTTGATGAAATGAAAATCCAATCAAAGCTGGTCTTTGATAAACACTCCAATGAACTAATTGGCTTTGTTGATCTTGGAGAAGAGGAACTGAATCTTAGCAGTGGATCGTCTGACCTTGCGACCCATGCCCTGGTATTTTTTGTACGTGGTGCTGCAAGTGTTCTTAAATATGCCCTTGCGTACTTTCTTACTAAAGATGTCACTTCATATCAGATAATGCCTTTGTTTTGGAAAGCTGTATCTGTACTTGAGCTTACGTGTAATCTCTGGGTTTGTGCCACTGTATCTGATGGAGCATCACCTAATCGCCTCTTCTACCAACTGCATTCCGATTTGGTCGAACCAGGTACAGAAGTGGTAAACTACACACCAAATCTTTTTGCTTCAAGTCGAAAAATCTACTTCTTCTCTGATGCACCACATTTGCTTAAGACTACCAGAAACTGCCTATTTAATTCTGGAAGTGGTAAGCGCACACGCTACATGTGGAACAACAAGAAGTACCTGCTCTGGGAACACATTGCCAAACTATATTACTCGGATCTTGATTCGGGTCTCCACCAGCTACCTAAGTTGACCGTAGATCACATTGCCCTAAAGTCCTATTCAAAGATGAAAGTCAGCATGGCAGTGCAAGTGTTGAGCAATACAGTTGCACAAGCTCTACAGCGCCATTTCTCATCGGGAGAAGCAGAGGAAACCGCCAAACTGTGCAAGATGATGAACGATTTTTTTGACTGCATGAATGTTCGATCCACCACCGAGCACCAGAAGAAGCGCAACGCTTTATTAGCTCCATACAGAAGTATGGATGACGAGAGATTCAATTGGCTGCAAAATGTCTTTCTGGAATACCTAAACAATTGGAAAATTGTCGACAGAATTGAGAGAAGGAGCATTCACTGATGATGACAGAGGA